CGAACCGCGTGTACTCACCAATTTGGCGCGCTTCGTGACTCATGTGTCCGAAGCAGTCTTTGAGGGCTGGTTTCTTGATGGTGCGGAGCCCTTGCTCGACTTTTCTGGGTTCCTCCTGGAATACTTGGAACGACCAGACATTGCGACAATCAAGTCTGTCAGACTCTGCACACAAGCCATCCAATCAATTCGCAACACCTTCCTGAGAGTCGCTCTACTTCGCTTGGCAGAATCAGATGAGACTGAAGGCGGAGAGACTACAACAGCAGTGATCGAGAAGATGATGTACTGGCAACCCATCATCCTCTCTTCTGTCAATAACGAAACGTTTTCGCTAAAGATGATCTGTTACCTTCTCTACACGCAGCTGTCATCTGAACACATGGCCGTACGTCTTGCGGCTGCGAACTTCTGGCGATCCCTCATGGTGCAGAAGCCTCACGAGACATCCATGATATTGGCTGATGCCATTCACGGAGACACAAAGGACCTCTACGATGGCTTTCAAAAGCTGGTCGAGCTAGACAACGAAACATTCCTCGAGTGGCTCGATAAGAACAAGACAGAGATGGACAAATTCTTCTATGGCTCCATGACCAAATCATGGGAAGAATTTGCCCACAGCCAGAACAAGAAGACCGAAGAGACATCTCAAAGGCGCATCGCAAAGCGTAAGGAAAAGTTGAAGCAATGGCAATCTGATGAACTTGCTGCTGACAATGTCTGGAATCACCACGAGAATTCAACAAATCACTGGAGATCCAATATACATGCTTCTGAACGTATCAAGCATCAGCGCGTTCTCCAGGACCAGCAGGATAACGCTACCTACATGGCGACCGTACTGGCGAAGCTCGATCACCAACTCAAAGGCCCATGCGGCTTGTTCGAAGAGAGTCCACCTGCCAGATGGCGGCTTGACGAAACCGAAGGTCGTGATCGAAAGCGTCTGCGTATCATCGTTGACAACACTACCAGAGAGCAATCCTACCAACCCAAACGGAAGGACACAGACCCAAGAGAGAGACCAAGACTAGACACTACCGTACCAGCAATCTCGGCGAAAGAAGCTGTTGGCGTTACACCTGTCAAAGGACGATCAGCTAGATCTTCCTCTGCTGTAAGCGGCGTATCGGGTGATCCTACGGAGGAACCGGAGTCTGCCAGCGACGATGACTTCGAGATGGTCGAGGCCATGTACGAGGATGAGGATGGCTTCGAAGACAAGAACCGTAAGGTTATGCGCAGTCTGAATCGCGGCGACCAGGTGCAGTATGTCTGCAACATTTCACGGGTAGTTGGACTGGAGGCGATAGAAGGCCTTCTCATTGTAGGAAAAGACTGTCTTTACTTGCTGGACGACTTTTTCCAGCGGTCCGACGGTGAGATTGTACGCGTATGGCAGGCGCCACCCGACGAGCGCGACCCTTACGTGCAAGTCATTGCTGGAAAGGAGGCTGTGACCACTCGTCGACCACCACCAAGGAACCAGGAAGATGCAGTGAGGAACTGGAAGTGGACCGAGGTCATCAGTATCTCGAAGCGACGCTTCCTCCACCGCGATGTTGGAATCGAGATATTCTTCGACGATGGCCGTAGCTATCTTCTAACCGCTGTCTCTGCTCAAGCGCGAAACGACATACACTCCAGAGTTCTACAACGAGCTTCTCATGTTGCGAACCCGGAGAAGTTCGCCAATTCCGAAATCTCTTGGCGCCTTGACTCCTTGCGCAACCCGGAAGAAGCACCGCAGACTTTTGGGTCACGATTCGCATCAGCTTTCGGCTCTGCTTCCGCTCACCCAGCAACTAAGAAGTGGCTGAAAGGAGAAATGTCCAACTTCCATTACCTCATGTTTGTCAATACGCTTGCCGGCAGGACGTTCAACGACCTCACACAATATCCAGTCTTCCCCTGGGTGTTGTCAAATTATCATAGTGAAGAGCTGGACCTCAGCGACCCAAGCAACTTCCGAGATCTCCGGAAGCCTATCGGTATCCAGGACCCGAAGCAAGAGCACCTCATTAGAGAAAGATTCAGTTCCTTTGCCGAGATGGGAGATGCTAGTCATGCCTTCCATTATGGCACCCATTACTCGTCTGCCATGACTGTGGCATCGTATCTCATGCGCCTCCAACCGTTCAGTGCTGCTTTCTTCCTCATTCAGGGTGGTACGTGGGATCATGCTGACCGTATGTTCTACTCGATCCAAAATGTTTGGGAATCAGTATCAGCAAAGAACATGGCCGATGTACGCGAGCTTACGCCAGAGTTCTACTTCCTCCCTGATTTCCTGACCAATGTCAATGGGTACAACTTCGGTCTGCGATCTGACGGATCGAATATCGACAACGTCAAATTACCTCCGTGGGCCAAGGGCGACCCGGCCATCTTCATCGCCAAACAACGCGAGGCACTGGAGAGCCCTCATGTTAGCCAAAACCTGCATCACTGGATCGATCTGATCTTCGGTTACAAGCAGCGAGGCGAAGCAGCGATTGAGGCTGCCAACGTCTTCCACTATATGACATACCAAGGTGCAATCGATCTCGATACTATTGTGGATGAGAAGGAGCGCGCGCAAAAGATCAGTGTTATCAACAACTTTGGACAGACGCCTCCACAGGTCTTCCAACGACCACATCCGCAGAAGGAGAATATCACAAGACCTACTAAGCTCGATACGGCGGCCGAGAGCTTGCATCGCGTACCTGGCACGTTACTTGAGTCGAATGATCGCATCTCATCCCTCAACTACATCAGCAAGAGCGACAAGCTCCTATGCTCTGCACCATTCCGGCATAACATCCCTCCGCACCATGATCGTTACATGGAGTGGGGTTTCACAGATGGCAGCGTGCGCTTCTACGACTCACACTCCAAGAAGCTCATTGGACTGTTCGAGCATCTACACTCCGGCCAGCTAACAACCTCCCTATTCGTTGACGGCAGCACGCTTATCACAGCCGGAACCGATTGCACTCTGGCGATCTGGAATATGAACAAAGGTGACCGAGGCCACATCGACCTACAAAACGCGACCACGTTGTTCGGCCATAAGTCTTCCGTCATCACACTCGCCGCAAGCCGCGCCTTCTCCGCTTTCCTATCTGCATCGCTCGACGGGCGGGTCTTCCTCTGGGATCTAAACCGCAACGAATTCGTCCGGGAACTGGATCTTGGTCCGCGACAAAAACGTAACCCAGTGCCGATCCAAGCAGCTAGGATAAACAGCGTCACAGGTCACATTGTGCTCGCATGCGGCAGCCGACTGATCGTCACCACACTCAACGGCGCAGTGCTACTAGACGAGGATATCTGCGACAGCGAAGACGACGCAGATAGCATCACCGCCGTTGCCGTCTACGAAGGCACGGGCAACGAGTGGTGCGAACGCGAGCTCATCTTTACCGGGCACCGGAGAGGCGTCGTCAAGATTTTTCACCTTACGCCCACGCCACCGACTATTTACACGCCCCCTGGGTCAATGACGACGACGACGATGCCTAGCAAGTGGTCTTTGAACCTTGTCAATGTGCTTAATCATGGTGATCCGACGGTGCCGTCGGCTGCGGCGCCGATTACGTGTATACTGCCCATGGCGAATCATGTTTATACGGGGGATGAGGAGGGGAGAGTTGTAAGTGGATAGATGTTCATTTGTGGTCTCTGTAACATGTGCTAACAAGGTATTTTAGTATGAATGGGATTGCGTGCATCGGCACCATTGATTATAAAAATCACGTTGGGGTGAGGTTGGTGCGCTTTTTGACATAAGGAAATTATGTTTTGTGCGCGGCTTTCTTCTTGCATTGGGGTAGGTAGTTGGGTGTGTAGCATTGGTGGGGAGTGAATAGATATGGTTTTGACGTTTCAATGATGATTGTTTGGAGGTGGAGGTGGTTGTGTGCCACTTCTTACTTAGGTGTCCTGTTCAAAGGAAAGAAAAAACCACTACACAAAAAATGGTCGTTCAACGGCTTCAGGTCGCAAAAGATGTTTGATACTTGGAGCAGAAGGAAAAGGGAGGCAAGAACATACAAGAGGGGGGATTTAATGGTGGTTACCCACCTAAATACTATTTCACTGATAAACTGGAGAAGCCTTACTGCTATTTGTTCTACCACCACAAAGGCTACCGAATTACCGGTTTCCGACATTGAGCGACCCGCAGACGGGCTTCTGAACAGCAGTCGGGGGCTGAGATTTGACCAATAGATCTGACGGTTGAGCGTCTCATCAACTTCAGCTATAGAGCTCAAGCACCAATCGTACACCTGCCAAGAAAGAGGCGTACCGCCACCATGACGGCTTGCGCCGTGATCGCAACCTGCATACCAAATAGGGGTTTCAAAGATGAGCTGACGTTCAGCTCAAAGCGCTCCCGGTGTCTTAAGCATGTCGACGTGTACGCAACTTCCTGCCACATCACTCAGACGCTCATGGGGGTCGCGGTCAATGGCCTGCACCCAAATGTTATTACACAATTTCCTCAACAGTCACCACCATGAGAGTATGCCATTCTATTGGATGAGAAAAGTTTCGAGTCCTCAATATTGCCTAGGCATACAGATCCGAGTCGATACTGGATCACAGACTCCGATTGCCGTGTGTATGCGACCTGATCAGGAGATCGGTGGAAAGCTCAGCCTTGTCTGCGTAGGCTTATGCGGCCAAGGACGCCCGCAACTACACTACATTGGGAGATATAAAAGGCTAAGGTGTGCCACACTGACTCTAGCTTTTGCGATATCCTTCAGCCTTGTACAAAACTCTTCCAGATTACTACTCGAATCTCACGAAAGTTAGCTATGGATTCAACCAATGCAGACTGTCCCATAAATTTCCCAGGACTCTGGCACAACGGCGACTGCTCTTTACTCTGTCGGCCGACGAAGTCGTACGACATTCTGATCTTCTTCCTTGGAAATTATTTAGCGCACGTTGCCACAGTGGTTTCTCCGCCAGGCGCTAGCATTGCTAGCCAGATTCTCAACCTGATGGGTGCGCTTTTGCTTCCTTTCTCTGGTATTTGCCTTGGCTTCGAGGCTATCGCAAGCCTGGCAATACGTGCTCCGACCCCATTGACGACAGCAGCACGATCTGGCGCGCTGTTGATGATTGTTGAAACAAAAAAGGCCGGAGAAAGTGTGCCAGAGTCTTCAAGCCAGCATGTGCCTGATAGTGAAGTTGTTCAACAAGAGGAACCGAAAGAGTGTACGTGTACGGATCCTGAACAGAACACGAAAAACGCCCTACCAAGTCGCCCATACCGTCCATGGACAGAACAAAAGATACATGGCAATATTTGTTTACCTAAAGGTTATGAGTTCAAGTCTGTTCCATACTATACAGAATTTGAAAGCGATGAAGAGGAGGTTAGGTGCAAACACAAAGAAAACGACAAGACGTCAAAATGGTACGACTTCTTGTGTGGATTCGGTAAACGGAACAGAACCACAAATGATGTTGCTTGCAGTTACAATGGGGCCAAAGCTATCGTGTCTATTGTCCAAACAGTTTTCGGTATCTATACATTGGTCAGGACAAGAGGCAACCAGATTGAGCGATTTGGCTATGCAGCTTATGGACTCACCGTAGCGCCATATGCTCTGATGAGCATAGTCAACCTTCTAGGTAATCTGCTGCGACTGGATTACCCATCCCTGTACATCGTTGGGTCAAATTCATCAGCCACTTTGCAAGATAAATATGGATGCACGATAGCCACTGTCGGGCGAATCAAAGGAGGTTTCATCGAACCCAACCGAGACAAAGATAAGAAAATGAAACGTCGTGTTGCCTGGGTTCAATTCCTTGGGTTTTCCGCAATTATTACGATCAATCTATTGGTTCTTGGCATCATGACCAAATTTACCAAGGGCCAGAGTACGCTGGCACAACGAGTTTGGACTATGTGTTGGCTTGCTTGTGGCGCGGTTTATGGATTGACGGTGCACTTCATGAGGCAATCGGGTTTCGACAGTACACCATATATGCGTATGCCGACCTCACTCGAAGACAAAAAGCGACACCAGACCACCAAAGCCAGCCAGGCCGATCAACCCAAACGAGTTCCTCGGTCTGCTTTCCGTGCTCCCAGACAGCTTGGACGGGTGAATGAGCGCCTCTACCAGAGGTCCGATGTTCAGTGGGTGATTTCTCGGGAGATACAAAATGTCTTGTACGGTGCATTTGTGATCTTGATATACGGTGTACCCACCATAGGGGGTTTTGTAGTCGTTGCACAGATGATACGACATTACGGAGTGTGTTCAAAAATGATAGATGATAGTGTTTAAACAATGCTAGGCATCGAAGCATTGGAAATCAGGTCAAAGAGACGTCGGTATGACATGATAGTCGGCCCGTTTTTAACGTTTGCCATCGGCTGTTATTTGCATGTGTCACATGGTGGATGGTAGACGGTCCATGGGCACCACGTACCTGTGTTTGGAACGGCGCTCAGTAAAGGTAGCATCTTCAGAAGCTATCACAGGTAGGTTGGTACTTGTACTCATATGCCATAACGTCTATAGCAGCGAGTTGTCTTGAGCATTGTTACAGAGACCTGCCGTCTATATTCAGCAAGTTTCAACAAAGTCCGGAATACCGCATCCCATAATGGCATATCTTGGTCTCTTGATGTACTACATACATTCCATTTCGGATAGTCAAGCGAACAAGAATACTAAATTTTAGAGTTCTATAGTCTTCTGTGCAAGAATGCAGAACACTAAGCTCTAAATATAAGTAGTACGTTAGTGCAAGATAAGTGTGCTTTTTAGTATTAGAAGACAGTTTTTAATTGCGACTTTATTCTCGCGTTAGTGTAGATCCCTAGATATGTAGCATTGTAACAGTCTCTTAATCATGCACTCATTGAAGAAGACTGGAGCAATGATTGCGGTGGTACAGGAGGCTGGAAGTGAAGATCTGGACTACATATACATGATTGGTTTGGACCTAGACCTCTGTAGTGCCTTTTAATCGCTGTTGTGGAGATCCGTGGCTTGGTTCTCTTCGTCGCTTCGAACATTCCTCCTTCTTGTTGATCCGCGGGCTGCTGGGTCGAAACGTGTAGGCGTCACGATCAAGCTGCGGTAGGTTTCATCGCATCTTAAGAGACAATAAGTTCATACCGAGTTCGCATGCAAGTCACGGTACACTAATTCTGACAGTGTCGTACAGAGCTCAGGGTACCGTAAGCTAAACGTAGACGGCCCTAGGCCACCCAATATTACTTAAGCTCAGGCATACAATGCAGTATTACCCGCTCCCGTTAGTGGGTGGCCCAGATCAGCACGATGTCTAAATTTAGCTGCATGCTGTAATTCAGATAGGTTTTCTCTATTCGTACATAGGTACTATGGCCTCAACCTTACCTGGATACCCTTTGTACGCAACAACATTAGAAAGTTCAACACCTGTATACACCGCTTCGATATTGACATAGCACGCCGGTTCCTTTGACGGTCACTCGCCGTCAATTACTGCGACGAGGTTTCCAACCACGCTTCCGCGGGCGTTAGCACAGTCAGACCTATACCACAAAAGAGATGCTTATGACGGAGAAGCTTTCGTGACGTAACTGGAACTTGCGATAAGACGAATGAAGTCTTTTTAGGAATAGAAAGCGTCCAAAATGGTAGGCAAAAAGTAGATCGCGAAAGACCAATGCACTATGTAAGAAGGATTAAGGCGATGTCAAACTTGCAAGCGCGGGGCGATGATGTCTTAGTATTCCTACAGTGGGTTCAGCACCGGACATTGATCCTGAATGGACTTGTACCATGACAGGATCATCACGTTAATCATTATTGAGGCCGTGATACGAGCTCCGCTCAGTCCGACATAAATACCGTCCTCTCACACTCCTCGACATACCATCTAAACATCATCTCATTACCATCGTTGCTGAGCTACCTGATCACAACGCCTTTATTCAAACCACCCAGCTTTAAATATCTATCTCCCTCAATCATGCTTTCATCTACCTCGATACAGGCAGCGCTACTCGCATGCCTTGCGGCTACCACGCTTGCCGTGCCCACTAGGTAAGTTGTTTTCGAACAAAAGAAAGACACTCCTAGTCCCAGCAACTGACCGAGCTCCTGTAGTCTTGCCAATTCGGGCCCTACTGTTGCTGACCCTTTGGTAAAGCGAGACAGCTGGTGTATATCTTGGTACGAAGACGTTGGCTGTACGAGTCCCCTCGGCACGCAATGTGGCGGGGAGAACAGTGAGCCTCAGCCGTGCACTACTATCGGGTTCAATGACGAAACGACGGTAAAATCAATTGATTGGCAGCCAGTTCCAGGATCATTCCTGGCTTTAAGCGAAGGAGATCAATGCGCTTCGAGTTTTCCCCTGCAGTTGTTCTCTGATCAAGACAATGGATGCCAGGCCATTTTGTATGACATGAAGTACTTTTCGGTTAGCAAAAATTAGATAAGAACTACTAAAGTACCTAGCATGAAGTAGTTAGAGATTGAGCCTCTACTCAATCTCGGGTATCGATAGATTGTGTTCAACCACAGATTCTACCATACGGAATGCAATTTAACCTGTATCTGTACTTATACATTCTTCGTACAACAGAAGCAGAGCTACATATGATCAAGACATCAGTTTCATGGTTTTTGGGCGTGCTGATCATGTCAGGAGAAGAGCGCTTTTAACGACCATTACAGATGATGTTCTTGGCGGCGTTCGGCAACTCACTTCGCTTCGATGTAACATAAGGCTACTGTAGAGCATGCTCTACCCTCAGTTTTGAGTTAGTCACGACCTACCTGGATATATACACTACTACGCGTTATGTCGCTATTCTAGGTCAACTTGGGGCCGGCGCTGTGAAGTTTGACACCGGCTGTGATGCGGATCGGGCAGATTCCGTAGTCTCGGTCTCTAAATGCACTACATAAAATCACTTTCTGATGTCAAGCGGACGAGAGAACTGACTTCAAGTGTACCATAGTCTTGTGTTTAAAAACATAAAACATTAAACTCTGAACGCAAGCAACACATTAGGGTAAGGTTAAGGCACTTTTGTCTTAGAGAAAAGTGTTTGAAGTGCAACTTTGTACTTACATAAGAATAGATATCTAGATTTTTGGCACTGCTGGATGCTTTGTGGTAAATCAATAGGTATAGTTCTAATGTTTCGATATGTATTTCGCGTGGCCTCTAGAATCGTGTTCTCAGATTAACCTGCGTTCAGATTATCGTGATCGCACCTCGTTTGATTCGATTCCTGTAATTCCAAACAGGAGCATTGAACCATCCAACACGTTCGTAAACAAGCGTCGTAGAAGAACTATCGGCTAACGGCCTGAGAATAAGCCCCCAAGTGGATGTTAGATGCTTGTGAACATGTTCCCAATGGGAGACGGTCGGAATGTATTGAGCAATTCCCATGTAGATATCATTCTTGTCCTGCCCTTGTTCACTATCCATACCAACCCCATCGAGTTTTCCGAGACCGAGTTGTTTTCTTCTAGCAAGAAATGGAATGGCCAGGCCGAATGCTCCCTCCAAGACCAAGGCGCCGCCAGTGACGCTCGAGAAGCGCGCAGTTGGCGAAACAGGTGTCACAGTACAAGATATTACTTTGACGATAGGCGTATACCACTCACAAAGATCAGTCTGCAGTTTCAAGAATAGTCGGCGCGTAACGAGCGTAGTCCGTGTGATGGTGAGACGGGACCCTGTTTTGCTAGCATCGTTGTTGCCGCCGACCATTTGATCGACGCGCACAGACGCGTCATTGGCCGTGCTAGGCATCTGCGGCCAACATGCCTTTGGACCGTCACACTAACTTCCCACAATGATATAGTGTCTCTACACCATGCTGAGATTTGGTCAACGCGCATGTACTCGCTTCAAATTTCCCTCTCACACCTCCCTAATTTCGCGCTTTCAGAGTACAAAAACGAATGCTAGCGAGCTCCTCGAGGAGGAGCGTCTTCCGTGGTATAGCCATGATCAGTTTTATCCAGCACGACCTGGTGAGATTCTCGATTCTAGCTTTAAAATTATAGGAAAACTCGGTTACGGTGCATACTCCACGGTCTGGCTGTGTCGGGATATCCGGTATGTTTGGCATTCTTTACCCCCACCCACTCTTCAAAGTCTGATCATCCATGTACAGAGAACGAGACGCTGGCTTCGTCGCTGTCAAGATTTGTACCCGAGATGCCGAAGAGACCCCACAGCTCAATCGAGAGCTAGATTTTTACAAGCATGTCAGTTCTATGCAATCACAGCATCGCGGTCAAGCATACATCCGCGGACTGTATGGCGAATTTGAGCTCGACGGTCCGACTGGCAAACATTTGTGCTTTGTTAATCCACCCATGCACATGACTATTCGACAGCTCCAGTATTATAACCCAGCACACAGACTCGACGTTCCGCTTCTGAAGTGCACGCTAGTCAATCTGCTGAAGACGCTGTCGTTCTTACACGACGAGGCTAAGGTCGTACATACAGGTGCGGCAAGATGATGCAACATGATGGAATCAACTGACAAGTTAGACATCAATCCTGGAAATATCATGCTGACTGTGGACGATGACATTATCCTGGAAAACTTCGAGAAAGCTGAAGTAGAGAACCCGTCACCGTTCAAAGTGATTGACGAGACACGCACCATTTACAGTTCCCGTGAGCTTCCTCATCCTGCGGGTGGTCTTTGGGGCCAACCAGTCCTCTGTGACTTTGGAGAAGCGCGGATAGGAGATTCCCACTCCGGCTTAATCCAGCCTGAGCTGTACCGTGCACCAGAGATAATTTTCGAGATGGAGTGGGGCTCTAAGGTGGACATTTGGAGTGTCGCCACGTTGGTAAATATTGGATACTATTATAAGGAAGTCCCAATGACTTACTGTTCATTAGGTGTGGGACTTGTTTGAAGATGAGCATCTATTCGACGCCCATGATAACGAGGGCAACCCATCAGAGACACATCATGTTTCCGAAATGGTTGCATACCTTGGAATGCCTCCGCTCGAATACACGCAAAGCAATCATATGACAAAGAAGGTCTTCGACAAGCAAGGTCAGTCATAGAGATCGTTCCGACATAGACTCTGCTAAGTTCAATAGGACACTGGACTGGTGGCTCCAAGGGTGTGACTATCCCTAAGATCTCACTCGAGGAACGAGTCTCGGTGCTTAAAGGGAAGGAAAAGGAATTGTTTCTCGATTTCATACGCTCGATGCTCAGATGGCGGCCGGAAGACAGAAAATCGGCGACTGAACTCCTGAAGCACCCATGGATGGCCGATACTATGTAGTTACGACGACGATCAAGCAACCATTGCACTACTAAGTCATCCTCGCGGAGTCTTTGTATTAGTTATATGTTTAGGATTGATTCACAAAAACATATGCTTCTTCACTTCACTCCCGGGCATCTTATATCATCATCGCCGACCTAGCAATTAATCTGGCCGACTTTAGCATCCGCACATGATATTGACGGCTTGGACCTCATTCGTTTTGCTCCCGACTGTCGGCCAATTCAATCTGCGCAAAAACTCCTTCTGTCGTTAAGTAGTACGTGTCCGGAGCTTAGATATCGTGGTCATGAATATCGGCGTGAAGTCTGCCTTACAGTAATAGAGTTATAATTCTTAAAATAGGTAACTAAAGACAAACTTTAGTTAATTAAACCTAACTTAGAACTGCAAGATTCAATAGATAGCGAGGGTAAACTAATTTTTAGTGTCCTATAGTCGTATATGCAAGAAATGGAGGAATTTGGTATTATCAACTGCATAATGCACACCACAGTGGCAGGCAGCAACAAACATCAGGGCGTGTGTCGGTACTGTGATGTCGGTACACTAGCACAAGGTATTATCTGTGTGGAGTCTTCCTTCATAAATACTGTTCGGGAGACACCTGTAGTATATCACTTTCAATAACAGTTGACGTGGTGAGCCGTGGGTGAGATATGAAGTAAGGGTCCAGGACAGATAAGGCAGCAAGACGAAAGTAGGGGAATGTTTGCAGTTTTGAGATTAGCTCTCAAGCATGAAGTGGAGTATATTGACTGGTAGTACTTATCACTGACCATGATCTGAGCGCTGATGCATACTAGTCTTATGGCGATGCTTATCTGGCGGGTGCTTGGCGATGCTTGTTTGCCTTGGGTGGTGATGCGTGTGCGCGCATTACACTCTCTTGACGGGATGACTATACGTGGCGGTTGGTCCTTGTCGCTAAAGAATGTTGCTGATGCATCTGTTGCTGGGTAGCTGCTTGATCAGGTGTGCTCCGGTTAAGTCTAGACGATGCTTTGCGCTCCAGCTAATAGTCGACAGAGATTGTTTTATGGTGGGGCTATTAGGTTATTGTGACAGCGATTTGTCAGTTCTATGAGAACTAATTCGTCCACTCTTCGATATGATGTATTCCTTGAAAGTGAGATGTGAGGGTACGATGAAGGGATTGCTTTTGCAAGGTTACAAGGTCCTTTGGTGCTGATCGGGTGTGGTGCCGGATCAGCGACGGCGCCAAGTTCTTGGTATTGTGCGAATACTACACTCCAGTTGAGCCGCAAACATGCAAAGGGTCGCGTGCAGCCATCTGGGCTGATAGAATTAACACCAGACATGTTCTTCTTTAAGAACTGGCGTTGGTCGATTGCGGGGTTCAGGGAAAGGGTACACCAGGACTAGCCACCAAATCAGCTAGCTCATGGGGGAGGAGATCCGCACCTTTCCGGACGCAGCATGACCCCACTATTAGGCCGCGTGCTTTGAGCCAATACTTACCGATTAGCACGTCATTTTTCGCCTTAAGTCTGGGTCGTCGTCGCGCCGCGCTCGCTCTTTCGCAAACCCAAAGACTACGCGACATTCCGAGCGACAAACCGAACAATACATGGAGTCGCCGGAAACGCCCGCCGCGCCTGAGACTGCTGCTAAGAAGCGCAGAAGACCAGTCAATGGTATGCGATATGGCCCCTCGAAATGGCGACAGGTGTGCTAACAGTATTCGTACAGCCTGCGCTACTTGCCGTGCGAGAAAGGTAACGCTTCATTCTTTCTTGAGAAATTCTGTTGGATTTTTGGTTTCCAGGATACGACAAAGCAAACTTTACGAAAACACCAGTGCATTGTCATGGTGGTTGAATTACCGGCGTTGCGGTCTTCGGATACTCGGGAACCAAAGAAGGCAGGGTCCACAGAGCTGACGATCTCCAGGTCAAGTGCGATGAGCGACCGAATGGCTGCGTGAATTGTGAACGACTCCAGCTAGACTGCGTGCAGAATGGCGGGGTTTCAGCTGCTGCGAAGAGACCAAGTACATCGTACGAACCGGTCGTAGGAATCAAGCGGAAACGGACATTCCGATCTTGTATCCCTTGTCGAGACTCCAAAGTCAAATGTTCTGGCGAACGACCAAATTGCACGAGATGTCAACAGCGCCGAACTTCATGTGTTTACGATGCTGAGCAAGTCGAGCCAGCTTGGGTGCAGAGCATCGCGACCCCAGCTTCAGAAACGCATACCGATTCGATGATGATACCTCCTCATACCCCCCAAGATTCTCGAGCACCTTCCAGGGGATACGGTCCGCTATCTAACAGTGAGCCTGTTGTACCAGGGTGTCCACCAGGTCTGCTATGGTATGCTTGACGAAGCCACCCAATTATATTGAACTGACGAAGACATATAGGTTATTTTCACCACAGCTACCACCGAGAATCAAGCTTCATGCGTTGTTAGATGCGTACTTCAACAACGTTCACCCCATTCGCGTTTTCGCGTTCGAGCACAAGCCGTCATTCATTCGGATGCTAGATGAAGGTCAGCTCGTGGATGCGTCCGATCAAGCCCTCCTACACATTATGTGTGCGTTAGGTGCTCGGTTCTACGCACTCGACTACAGTGAGTCGTTCTCGCCCTTGACAAAAGATCTGATCCAGTCAGCGGGAAGCCAGTGGGCGAAGTCTGCGGAGGAGATGTTCTTCGCTGATTACAGCACCATCTCCATCACAAAGCTCAAGGTCTTGGTCTTACTTCATGACCAAGAAGCCCGTAATGGCAACTATGCGGGCTCTTTCCTTCTTACTGGCCTTGTCATACGCATGGCGCACGCTCTGCAACTCAATAATGAGGTATCACCAGACGTCCTTTGTAAGGAGTTAGGAGGAAGTCCAAACGAAGTATCTGTAAGGGAGTCTCGTAGAAGGCTCATGTGGGCGTGTTATATGATCGATGTCTGGGCTGGTAGTGGTGTCGACCACCTCACTATACTCAATGAAAGAGACCTCAAGATCCAGCTTCCTTGCAACGAGCGTCAATTCTCACTACAAATACCGTGTGTCACGGAGCGGCTTGAGAGAGGTACACTACTGGAATTCATGCCTCCAGAGGACATACCAGAGAAACCGGCGGACAACCTGGGTATGGCTGCGTACTATGTACGTATCGTGAGCATTTGGCGGCGGGTCCTACGGTGAGCGGGAAAAGTGTTCCTTCCGGCCTTTTACGCTAACCTGCGACAGATTCGTAAAGCACATGGACGAAGAGCAACCGCCTTGGCTCCCTGGGTCCGGATTTGCCGTTCTCATCGAGGACATACAATCATGGAAGCAAAGTCTGCCGTCCTGGTTAGACTTTTCCGCCGACAACATCTACATCCGACGTGAAACCCATCAGCTAGGTGCACTCCTCCTCATTCACTGCATGTATCATCACGTTATGTGCGACGTGCATCGGATTGCTCTCCCTGATCTGTTTAAGAACCAAGAGCCATTCGTTTTCCCCACTGATCGGCAGGCATTCGTCAGTCATCTACAAGATGTCTGCTTTGAGCATGCGCAGCGTATGTCGGTGTTGGTCTCACATATACTGCAGCACGGCGTCAAACACTTCGCAGACTCTATTCTACCATCGTTCGTCTACAACAGCAGTCGCATCATGCTCTACTATATCGCTCGGATCTTGGATGTATCGAAGCCCGATGCCGGAACTGTTATTGGTCGTACAGTCGAGCTAGTGCAGTACAATAACCAGGCGCTGCGGGAAATGGCGTTCATGTATCCGCTTGCTGAATCGTTATGTATCACATCCGAGCGCTGGTTAGAGACCGTACGCGACAGTCTGGCTCGTGGCCACTCTGCTGACTACATCGCGCCTCAGGATCCGTCCGAGAACGAAGCGCGACGCATTGTCGGCGCTCCCGCACCAACGGCAGGTACTCCTAGGCAACGAAACGCGGCCCTCTCGGTAATTCCTCCAGTTGAAGAGATACTTTCGGCAACTTCACCTTCAACGCTCAGGACAGCCACTACCCGTTATCCCTTTTCGGCACCGACTACTGACCAGGGTTCATCTGTAGTCACTTCAGGTCAGGTTATGACTTCAGCGACTGAGAACGCGGTAGGGACTGTATACTCCTCCCCCAATGCGCCCACTGCTTTTGAGCAGCCCATGTTCAACCTCGACGACTTACAGAATTTCTTTGGGTGGGAAGCAAGTGATGATGAGAATGCACAGTCGACCGGATTTGAGGGATTTGGTCCTCTAGGTTGGGCAAATAATTTCTCTATTATGTGAGTGAAAACCTCGAGGCGAACTTGCTAGGCGCTTGTACGTAGCTCTTGCCTGGCTTCTCACTTCCTAGGCTGGATAAGGTTTGCCTTGGGCCTCGACCTATAATTAGTTTGCTTTCTCGTCTAGGTCAATACCAACTTCTCTTACGCTGGCCTTTTCTTCGAATCAGTTCGCATTGATGCACATGACGTTGTCAATGAAGGCCTCACCCCCCCTTTCTTTGAGATTGATCAGGCCATAAGAGAATTGCTTGAAGCAGCAACTCACCTCAAGTTTATTCTCACTCTTTGTACCGGCTCACAATCCTTTTAAATCGAAGTGAAAGCTTTATTGAACTGATCAAATAGAAAAATAACATTCCTTGCAATTAGGATAGTGCGAGGCTCTACGGATCCACATCCCATTCTTCAACAAATATGTCATCAGCTGTGGACTGATCCCAGTCGAAATCTAACGTGTCCGCGCGTTTTGGCGAATCGTCAACAACGTCTTCATGTTGCGCACTGGTTGCAAACATATTCAAGCTCGTCCAATATGTAAACCTCTTTCCTCCATCTTCTGATATTGCTTCGATCATAGTAACTTGCTTGAGCCGTTGTAAGGTCGGAAACTCAGCGTGGAACCAAAGGCCATTCTGGTTGACGTCGTTCACCGTCGCGGCGTCGAGCCCAATGCTTTTGTCCATGACAGTCGCGAAGACATGGCACATTGAAGCAAAGGCTTTCGACATGTGGGAGTAATATTGCGTTTGCTTCTTCTTGTCTTGCATGATGCATCGTAGGGGGTTGGTGTTCGTTATTCTTTTGCTATAGTACTGCTTGGGCCAGACATCCTGTATCCAGTCAGAAAGAATCCTGTACGCATAGTAAGTACACAAGTACCCATATTGTTGTCAAAGGCGGCCCCTCTTCTTCAGGTCTCGACTTCGCGTAGCGGCGCGCTGCCCTGCTTAAGCCGCGTGTGTAAAAGAGGCATGACATTGGCTCAGGTCGCTCTATCGCATTCTCGATGAACCATTCGACAGTATATTTTGAGGGGAGGTCGCATTCGGTTCTACCCCTGGCCTCCAGTTTGTTTCGGCGGCATGATGGTGTGTCGCATCGCTCCTCTCTTTCCACCGGAACAGCTTCAGTAACAAGAAGAAGATGGCAGAGCGTTACGAAGAGGTCGATGAGCTTCATGGCGAAAGTGGAGCGTGCAGCAGTCGTTTCGACGGGAGGTTCTCCATGCGATAAGCCAAGTGGGGCTGTCGAATCTTTATCTCCAACATGGGCGTAAGGCCCCCAAAATGGCTGTGACAGAGGCTGTGTTTGAAACGGATAGTGGTGCGGAGATCCTCATCTTGGCGTCAACGGTCAGCGTCAACAAAGCTTTGTACCATTACGTGCAAGCATGGATATGTGTCGCGCCTCAGGCGTTCCAACGGCTATTCTTCGTGTCCGTGGTGCTTCACTAGGCGCGTTCACTGCACGTATTGTCGCGGTGGTCAGAGCACACGCGCACATCGTTCCCAGCTATGAAATGTGCCAAGAGCATCATCTCACCGACGAACGGCTAATTCGGACATAACACTGCAAACTGGTGGCAAACCGAGAAATGGAGTTGGGAGTTGGGAGTGATTTACTGTGTACACAGCCCTGCACAGGCATGATGGCCTTGGGAAACTCCAGCCCCGCAGTCAGACTAGTCCTAACCAGGCATTAGACACGCTCCGCTTATCAGGCCACCAATCAATTCATTCGACGCTCTCCCGCAATGTCTAAGTTTAGCGCCAGGGTTGTGGCCTCATCTTAGTACGATGGATGAAGAAAACATGACTTCAATGCGTTCCTCCGTGCAAGCAGAAAAAGGCCAGATGAAAAAAGCGACCGCGATTGCTAGGGGAAAGCGCGACCGTCGCATAGCCTAATGGTCTATGTTGAGTGGCCCATACTATTCGGCGAACATGTTTTAGGAATACACAACTCTCGTTGCCGTGTGGTGAACTACTACACGAGCATTGCGACAGATACAACCATAACACTATATTCAACCACTCTAGATCACAATAGGTTCTTCTCATCTAAAACATCCCAAACACTACTGACCACGGCGTTTCCTGAAATGCATCTTTGCACTACCGAATGAGTAGTCCTTTGCTTGCTTCTCCCCAATCCAGTGTCCTGCTATTCTTCGACGACGAGTTCTATCCCGTAGAGACAGACCTGCCATATCGTCGAGCTCATTCTCACTAAATTTCCATGGTTGGCCTGCCACGGCTACAGCTGTCCATTCATGCTGTGGGGCGTGTCCGGTCAGCTCAATTCCGAGTTCCGTCGCTCGCGCATAGTCTCCAGGATGAAACCCGTGCCTCTCTTTGGTACTACAAGCATCCCAATAGACACTGACAGCGCGTAGCTTTGGAAGATGTGTGGCAAGATCAGTGGCCGGATCATGTATCATCTTTCGCACATAGCCCGTTGAGACCCGTTCGGAGTGGACGATCGTCGGCGATCTCAACGATCTTGGAAAAGATGAGTATACCAGGCCATTGGTACGTACGATACAATCCATCGGTAGCGCGACTTCAGGGAGTATCAACGTCTGTAAGTTGTCGAAACTGAGGAATCTCGGTGGGAGCCGCACCATTCTGCGGTACGCAATACCATGCCATGAGAATGGTAACTCCAGCTCGGTAAGCCTCGAGTAGCTCTTATGGAACACTTGAGCCAGATATTTGTGTTCCTTCAATAGCCGCGTCGAAGGATCGCCACTCCAATGTATTCTGTCATCAACCTTTGGGCTAATTGGTCCTTGCCATGGATCTGCATCCCTGAAGACCATCGGAAAATAAAATGTGTGGCTACCGCCGAGCAGTAGCGCTTTAAGGTTTGGTAGTATCAGCAGGAGCAAGGCGAGAAATGCGTTGTTGTGACCTGCTTGTAGCGCGTTTTTCCATACCCATTTATTGTTATTGCTAACGCCGTCAGCCTCTCTAATAGCCTTAAGACAGTCCGTTCGGAAGGAGGTATCGGTCTCGATGCTGAATTCTCTGGCCGGCATCTTCGAGAAGTCTCGTCCATCTTCACGTGTTATCTCTCCAGTGTAAAGCAAGTGCTGAATAAGGCGTTCACGTTGGTTGCTCCTAGGCATCCGTATGCACCCATCATTATCGCCAACATAGTGCTCCCAAGAAGCTTCATGACAGGGGTAGTTCGTGATCTCGAGAGACTCGATCTTATCGGCCCACTGTGCGACTGGAAACTCTCGGAGCGTTCGAAACAAGGCATGTACGTTCGGAAGCGGAACGCAGAGCGCCTTTTGCTCCTGCAAAATACTTCGCACAACCCTGGGAAAGCAAGTATTCACGATGGCGAGAGGTAACAAATTCCAGTAGGCGCATTGGTTGAAGCGAGGTTTGAGTAAAAGATATTTAGCTATCAGAAGAAGTAGTTCGTCGGGTAGGTTAAGAATACTGCCGTTCGGTGTGCTGTTGGCAAGAGGAAGGGACATGACTGGCAGTTCAGATGATCCAGTCGCGTTACAAAGCTAGTATGGCTAGATAAGAATCGTTTATGATAAGTTTAGTAGTATATGATATAAGAAGGTAGTCTGTAGCTTGAGAAGCGTAGGGTCAAATGGTCGGATCGTGCCTAAATAAGGAAGGACAGTGAATGTTTACACATACATCGCTCAGCAAACGTGCGTTGTTTGCCTTTTGATAATGTGGATCTCGAGTAGATCAAGTAATTTAGATATTCACATGGTTGTTTTCAACAATTGACCAAAGTCGTGGTAAGGCAGCCACAGATTTGGGACTGGACAAGTGTTTGAGGATGAAACCAAGAAAGCAAAGGCGAGGTTATACTCGGGTAGGGCTATCGAGGCGTGTGGCCAATTGACTAAATGGAGTTGTAGCAACTGCCTTCCGCTCTTGTTATACCAAACGAGTGGAACCATCAGCGCCATATACATTTGACATGGCACGAATTTTGGCGACAGAAAACTTGTGGGCAATGTCCGGTATGTCGCTTCCATCGATCATGATGCTATCTTCCGGGCAGCGTTGGTCATAGATAGTCATTTCGATGGCATCATTGGGTATACTAAGAGTATTGCAACGGTGACGATATCCGGGATTTGAGCGAGCCTTCGTTACGATAAATGACGGGAGAGAAGAAGGGCCCGAGGGTGTATAGTGGGGATTATAACTAGAAGAATCTATCAGTAGAGATAAAGCACGGTAGAGACAATGAGCCTACTGGACGAGTTCGATTTTGATGCACTTCTGAGATGCTCTTATAATATACCAGCAGACTGGTCGAACTGCCCATGCGAACCTATACTGTACACTGTGGCCGGTAAATAACTGAAGTATTCCAATGGCAATATGCAAGATTCGTTTCCAGGGTGAAATTTGGTTGTGACAACTCAGTAGGCAACCTTGGTATAGCTCGTAACCCGGATTGCGGCGTAGCGATTAAATTCCACGACAAGTCTCTACATGTTTCAACTAGAGATCCCTTGTGTGAAGTATTTGATGGATCTTCTTCCTCAAAAGCCGGTATCGCTGCCGCAAGGGTATTGGCACGCCATGCCCCAGCATGTACGGCATCGGACCGTTCGATGTTTGATTTGATTCTGCGTGCAGCCCTACTTTGGAAGCACGTTGGAGAAAAGGAGTTGTTAATTCGGGCCGACTCGAGTGTTGAGGTGATCGTTCCCTAACGGTTTTCTCCGCAGGTCAAAGTACCCGTCGATGCAAATGACGGTCTGCAGACACATAACTGCCAAATTCCATCGCTCCGACTGATACAGTGCCGATGCAATTTACGTACATGAGCGTGCGATAGAACGCGACAGAATGAATGTATGTTTCACAGTCGCTATGAAGATAAGAACGCGTCCAGCGAAGAGATGCGTATAGCTCGACACCGATGTATCGTAGCCTTGGAGATGGATGTGGAGAAGGCACGTGGTGTGCGGACGCGTCGGAAATTAACCAGAGGCTTGATTTGTTCTAACAGCGTCAATCCTCCACCAGTTCGGTAAAGCTAGGATAACGGCTGCCATCAGTTCAGGACAGAGAACGCCAAGACCATGCGTCATCGTGGCAGGTCTGGCGCGCGTCGTCATTCGAAGCAAGCACGCTAAGCTTCATCAGCCCACGCTATGTTTCTTTCGACTTCGGGCCAAGCCAGGGTCCAACGTGCCGCCGCGTTGGCTTTCGACATTGGGATTGATTATTACACCACCCAGCAGTCCTTGACTCAGGGGTACACATGGTGTACTGGCAGTTGCCAAAGGTACCCGGGTCATCGAGGTCGCTTCATTGCAGCTTGCTCGTACAGTAACAGACACTCACGGCCCGATGAGCAACGCGGAAAAGGAGTGCTGCTGACCGTGCCCCACAGACAACTGACAAGAAACGAAGACCCGCGCAGAGATTGACCAATGCATCAAGGCCTTCTGCGCGATCGTCGGCTGTACCTGGATTCCTCGTGGCTAATGCAAACTAATCAGGCACTGTTGAAGATATCCACGGGAATCCACTTGGAAACCGCGAGTCCCGCGCTCAGGCACCGCTGTCTCTGATGCCGATCCCAATCGTAAACAACAGAATAGCCTGGAACGGTGAGCTCAAACTGAAAGCTCTGTATAGCCACAAGAAGACTTAGAGATTGTTTTCCACCATCGAAGCTTCGTCCTACTTGATGCACCTGGGTAATATCTCTCAGCCCATGTCCTTTCACAAAAAGAAGAAAAGAGTTAGACCGGCTCAGGAACACTCTTCAAGCACACAAGATGGTATCCGTGCCAGGCATCAAGATACGGTGAGGTTATCCTCATTACTCCAGCTGAATTCATCCAAACCTGGCATTGTATCTGTGCTGGCAGATCCACCTTCAAGGGACTACAACTACCGATCTGCACCAGAGATGCCGCTTTCCAATGACTGAGCGCATGGGCCATAACGGTAGATCGACTACACAAGACCTATAACCAGACTTCGCGCTGTTGATCACTATCCTACTGGTCTTCTCAATGCAGCCAACGGCCATTTACCGGACATTACTACACTGCCACAAGTGTACATCGAGTGGCGTCAGGAGAGAGGTAATGGAACGATGAGTATATAAGTACTGTCGGTGTTACCAAGGAAAGAGACATCATCCATCCAGAGCCTCAGCCTCATCCAACTCTTACGACACTCGTTTTACATACCAACTAATATACACTCTTTCCGAGAACTTTTAATTCTTTCAAGATGCGTTTCAACTACTTCCTCGCCGCTGCCGCTGTTGCGAACGCCGCCGTTATTCCCCAAATCCCCCAGACCAAGGACACGGTCAAGGATGTCACCTCTGGTGTCAAGTCAACCGTCGACGGCGTCACTCTCCCCAAGGTCAACGCCCACGTAGGCCGTCGTGCCCAAGCAAACGTCGGCGCTAAGGTTGCTGGTGTTGAGCCCAAGGTCGCTGTCGGTCTAGGACGACGAGTAAACACAGGCGCCAAGGTCAACCTCGAGGGCGTCACATACGACAACGTTAACGTCACCGTTGACAAGGGCATCAACCCCAAGGTCGGTGCCAGCGTAGGCCGCCGCGCTGATGCCAACGTTGATGCTAAGGTCAACGCTTTGGGTCCCTTCACTGCTGATGCTGCTGCCGGCGTCTCTCTCAACAAGCGTCTCGACGCAGAACTTGAGGCAGCAATCGACGCTAAGCTCGAGGCTCTCGGTGTCTCTGCCGATGCCTCCGTCGAGGTCAAGCTCCAGGCTCTTGGTCTCTCCGTCGATGCCTCAGTTGAGGCCAAGCTTAACGCTCTCGGTCTTTCTGTCGATGCCGATGTTGATGCTAAGGTCAACGCACGCCAAACGATCCCTAACGTCAACGTCCCCAAGGTCGACGGCCTTGTTGGCGGTGTCACCTCCGGTGCCACCAACGGTGTCAAGTCCACTGTCGACGTAAGTTTCATCCATCTCACTCATCTCACCCCTCTAACAATTCTGACAGGATGTCAAGGACATTGATGTCGATGCTAAGGTCGACCTCGACAGGCGCCAGCTCCCCAGTGTTGATGGCCTCGTTGGTAACGTCAAGGATGGTGTCAACGGCATCAAGGACGGTGTTACCTCTACTGTCAACGATGTCAAAAACATCGATGCTCACGCCGATGCTCTGGACAAGTCTGTTGATGCTGCTCTGACCAGGCGCCAGCTCCCTGACGTCAACGGTGTCGTTGGCGGTCTTGAGGGTGCCGTTCCTGGCCTCAAGTCTGTCGAGGATGCCGCTACCCCTATTGTCGACGGTGTCAGGGACAACGTCGTTGGTGGTGTTACCGGTGTTGTCTCCCCTATCGTCAACGACGTCAAGGACGGTGTCACCTCTGCTGTCACTCCCATTGTCAACGGCGTCACTGGTGCTGTTGACCCTATTGTCAAGCCCGTCAAGGACGCTGCTACTGGCGCCGTTAAGGGTGTCGAGGGTGCCGTCGCCCCTGTTGTCAGCAACGTTCAGGGTGCTGTTGACCCCGTTGTTAACGGCGCTAAGGGTGCCGTTGAGCCTGCCGTCAAGAACGTCACTGACGGTGCTCTCCCTGTTGTCAACAACCTCAAGGATGGCGTCACCTCTGGTGTCGGCTCTACCGGCCTCTAAACAACAATGACGACCATGCCACGCGATCTTGCCAGCGTCCATAGTTAGACTATTACCTGTATATCTTAATCTATATTATACCCTCATCGAAATACTACATTATATTGCTACTATAAAGCTGCTCCTCGTGTGTGTCTGACGATGCATTGCCTTCTCCCACTGTCCGTTTGATGGCCTGTTCCAATTCGATGCATGGTGTTGTGCCATAACTAAAGTCTGCGTACTTGATCTATGTCCGACAGGCTACTTACAATTTCTGCGTCGCTCACATTCTATGAGAAGAACGAGCTCTTAACTAACTTATCGCAAGTGAAGGTGAGTCGGTGAAGGTGAGATAGCGTACCACAGCGTATCACGTAGTTTTAGCTCGGCGAAAAGTGAGAGATCCTTGGGGTCGTCTTAGTAGACATCAATATCAAACCCACTCGCTTTTGACCTTTCTTCCTGACTTTGACTCCATCTTCTTCTTCGACAGCAGTATCTCTATCCTAAGATTTGGCGGTATGGATTCCTCGAGTAATACACACAAGCGGCCGAGGTTCGACTTTGAGAAGTGAGTCACAACGAATGTTGAAGGAAAACATACTAAAGCTCCCGCTTCTAGGTACTCAAACTCCAAAGTGTTGTCTGATGTCACGATCCGCTACGGAGCTTCGGGCGAGTTTAAGTTCGAAGCTCATAGACTGCTGCTGAGCGCACAGTCTCGTTGGTTCGAGGCAGCTTTTACCGGAGGATTTGCAGTAAGTCCCGCATCCCATCTTTCAGTATATACGTTTGATGAAGTACACAGGAGAGCCATGCCAGAGAGATCATTTTGATTGGCGATGATCCCGATGCTCTCAAAACTATGCTCGGCTTCGTATACGTTCCACAGATATGCCGACCGGCGGAGTTGCTACATGGCGCGACCGACACGATCAATCACTTCCTCGGGCTTTATCGTGTGGGCGACAAGTACCAATTTCCCGCTTTCTTGGTCCCTGTTGCCTCAAAGCTCAAGAGGCAAATGCGTCTGTGGTTGGGCAGGTCCCGTGGACCACTCGGCAAAGACTGTGTTGCGCAGTCCGAATTCTGCGGCTTCATCAGAGATATCTATGAACTCGTCGGTTTCGAACATCAACCCAGCCATCCGTTGGTACAGATCTTACTGGGAATAGCAACAGAACGAGGCTTGGCAAGCGTTCTGAACAACATCGAAGGTAACCAACCTCTGATAGTTATGGCGTCAAAGAAAGTTGCAGAGTATGGACGAGACATATTTCTTCACTTGATGGACAAGACTGGGGTCTCGAAAGCAAATGATAATGGCAAGGTTGTCACGACTGAGCTGTGCATCGGAGTCGTGCTCGAATGTCCGCCTTGTAGCGATATCTCGTGGAAGGTGATCTGGGACGATGAAGAAAGCCTGGACGAGGAGGGGGAGTGCACCATCTGCGGACTAGGTCTCCAGTACTGGAAGAAAGGTGATGAATAATGCGCAGACTCAGTTGCATCTAGATAGTTTTGCCGCCACTACGCCAGAGAGAGAAACTAGATATCTCATTTGAGCAGAGTACTCCTTCCTACTACAACAAAGCGTATCAGGGCTATATAGACATATATAGAGAATCCAGAAGTCTAAAATACTATTAATCCTTATAGTCTCTTATTAGGAGCCAATGTAAGCTGCAAAGTAGAGCTTACGTTCTCTACCTGTTCGGGTTTTCTCTTGTATAGGGTGCTGCTGTTCTTGTGAGGTACAGATGGCATCATGTAGCTAAGCCCATTTGAGCAAGCCTCGGTAGTGGAGTCTCCGACGCTAGGTCAACCCTGAGATTTGGCTGCCCGTTTCAACATTTCCCCTCGAATCGCGATCAATGAACTTGCGATTCCACCAGCATACCATTTTCACGACGTTACGACCCCTTGACGAACATTTCGTATCCTCCGCTCTCTTTTCTGCCTTGTTGAACTGCTAGAGCTGCTCCTGCTGGTTCCGATATAGCTCGGAACTGCCTGCGATATCCCAATAACGACAACAAACACACTCCCTGCCACCGTCAAACCCCACCGCCACTCGACTTGAGCTACGAGACTCACTCCGCTCACACGACGTATCCTCGCACTCGCTCCTTACACCGAAGCTCCCCACCCTCCTTATCCACCTACGATGCCCGAGACAACCAAAGTCGTGCCCCTCACCTGCCACGGTCACTCACGACCTGTGCCACACATCCACTTCTCGTCCCTTGTAGACGAAGACCAATACTATATTATATCAGCATGCAAGGATAACAACCCCATGCTTCGCGACGGAGTGACGGGAGATTGGATTGGCACCTTCCTCGGTCACAAAGGCGCAGTGTGGCAAGCGAGGCTATCTTCTGATGCCTCGTTGGCAGCTACCGCCTCTGCAGATTTCTCTGCGTACGTGTTATGACTTCGCGAAATCGGGAAGCGTTCTAACGGTTTACAGAAAGGTCTGGGACACTCACACTGGCGAAGCCCTACACACTCTCTCACACAACCACATCGTCCGCGCAGTCGCATTTCCCAACCAGCCCCATCCCCAGATCCTCGCGACAGGTGGCATGGAGAAGAAGCTGCGCATTTACGACCTTTCACGCAGCGACGCGACGAGCTTCGAGATCGGCGCAGGTGTCCACACCGGGACCATCAAGTCGATTGTATGGACGTCTGACCCGAATGTCATAATAACAGCGGCCGAAGATAAGAAGGTGCGGTGGTGGGATTTGCGCCAAGAGGCTACAATTGGCGAGCATGCTCTTGAAGGCACTGTTGGCTCCTGCGAGTTGGATAACACCTCCTCGGATGGCATCTTGAGCGTAGCCGCTGGAAATAGTGCCTACTTCTTCAACAGCCAGTCGCCCGGCTCACTCATCAAGAGCATCAAGACACCGTACGAGATCGCTAGTGTGGCTCTACACAACGGAGAGCGCAAATTCGTTACTGGTGGTAGCAACCAGAACGACACTTGGGTCAGAGTTTGGGACTTTGACGAAGAGAAGGAGCTCGAGACCAACAAGGGCCATCACGGACCTATTTGGTCGGCAAGCTTCTCGCCTGACGGGAAGCTTTATGCTACAGGCAGTGAAGACGGAACTGTGAAGCTATGGAAGTTCACGTCTGGACCTTACGGTTTGTGGAAGTAGGATTTCCACACGATACCGATGCTGGCTGTGGCCATCCATGGAGATATTGGCAAGGCGCAGTAGTCCGACACCCGAACTAGAGTAAATAAGACACGTGTAAAATCTGTTGCCTGGATAAACAATTATATTCTATCTCATCGAGCTTAATATGCGCTGCACAGATGAGGAGAACCACAATTGGCGCACGTCACAAACAACCATCAGGTTAAGCTTTGCTATCTCGAACTACTCCAGCCAGGGTAACTGTACCCGGGAATTGCCCGATTCGACGTGCCGAAGGATCACCAATACCAATAGCATGCGGCAACATCAGCAACCTGCATGATACTACGGCCGCCCTAGGTAGCGATATGCAACACTCAACAAGCCGATAAGGACACCTTGGCATGATAGACGATAACTACTTTCACGGCCGTTGCCAAGGGTGGGAGATGGTGGGAACACATAAGTACAGATGCACCATACACCACGCTGCCTGTGTTACTGTTCAAACGTCGCGACCTGCGAAACTACTGTTGCCAGGGTCTTCGGCTATCTTGCTTTTACCCCACTCTAGTCAACCACCAACACTCGGTTTGTCATCTGTGGACGGGCAAGATGGGCGAGAAAGAGCATGATATCTCGCCAGCACGAGAGGCCAGCATTGACGAGGGGCAACTCGCTGCTGAGAAGCAGATGCGCGACATCGGCGCAGATCTATACCTCGAAGTACAACAATACTCTAGAGAGGAGCTAGAAGCAGAGCGAAAGGTCGTACTTCGGAAGATTGATTGGGTCATTATGCCAATGGTAGGTAGACGCTAGCCACCCTTAACAACGCGTTACTAAATAGAAAGATAGATCTGTATGACATACATGATCCAATTCCTCGATAAACTGTCCTTAAACTACGCAAATGCCTACACTCTGACCCCTGACCTCGGCCTTGAAGGCGACCGCTACGGTTGGGTCGCCGCCATCTTCAACTTCGGCTACCTCTTCTGGGCGCTCCCAGCAAACTACCTCATCCAACGACTCCCCGTTTCGAAATACACCGGCTCCATGATCCTCCTCTGGTCCATCCTCCTCTGCTGCCACGTCGCGGCCAAAAACTACGCTGGGATGCTCGCCCTGCGTTTCTTACTGGGTATGTTCGAAGCGAGTATCAGTCCAGCTATCATGAACATTGTCAGCATGTTCTACCGGCGCGATGAACAACCAGTACGCATGTGCGTTTTCCTTGCTTTCAACGGCATGGCGACAATGGTTGGCGCCTTGCTTGGCTACGGCCTTGGTCACGCGCACTCGTCGCATATCAAGACCTGGCAGCTCATCTTCCTCGTCATTGGGCTGTTGAACTTCGTCTGGGCGTGGGTGTTCCTCTGGGTTATGCCTGATAGTCCTTCCACTGCGAAATTTCTATCGCACAAGCAAAGAATCGTGGCGATTGATCGGATTGCAAGCAACATGATTGGCGTCAAGACGAAACAGTTCCAGAAGGCGCAGGCGGTGGAAGCTGTTCTTGATTTCAAGGTCCTTTGCATCAGTTTGATTGGACTCTGTTGCGGCGTGATCAACGGCGGTGTGTCAAACTTCTCATCTTCACTCATTCGTGGATTTGGGTTTAGTGGGATTTATGCTACGTTGCTGCAACTCCCGACGGGTGCGATTGAGTTTGTGGTTGTCCCGCTTTGTGGACTTGCAGCTGGGTACTTTAGGGATACGCGTTGTCTCATCCTGGCCGTGGTTTGTTTACCACCGTTGGCTGGACTTTTGGGCATTCGACTCACGCCCTTGTCACAACGCTGGAGTCTGGTCGGGTGCACATGGTTGCAGTATATCGTCGGTGCTCCGGTCATTCTGTCATGGAATCTGCTAACGACAAACATCGCCGGACATACGAAGCGCAGTACGGCGAACGGGCTGTGGTTTGTCTTCTATGCTGGGGGAAACATAGCGGGTGCTAACATTTTCTTTTCGAGAGAAGCGCCGAGGTACTTCTCAGCGTTGACAGGACTTATTGTCTGTTACTGCGCTATGGTGGTAATAGCCGGTGTGCTGGCTTTATGGATGGGCTGGGAGAACAAGAGAAGGGATAAGAAGTTCGGTCAAGGAGAAGACGAGCAAGCTATTAGAGATGGATTTAGCGATTTGACGGATAAGCAGGCCAAGCACTTTAGATATGCGTTGTAAAAAGGACGGGTCGAGATGATCAAAACATAACTCTGCCATGTATACTACAGTACATCCGTACTCTGAGACTGGGAGACTTCGATCGGCTTTACTAGCCGCAGCTAAGTTAAGCCCATAGGTTTTTGTTCAGGTACTTCCTTGGTATATGGGCTGCTTACTAATAGAAGTCTTGGAAGTTACTGAAACTTAGCAGAAGCCTTTGTCGGATCGTTGATACCTCTATAGCATTCATCAATCTAGACTCGTCTGAGTCTAGTCTGCTTGCCCAGACAAGGTTTCTTGTTAGAAGTTTTGGATTGGCTAGAGTCACAGCTGCTAGGTGCCAATAGTGAGCTAACAATCCAGATACGATTTGTAAGCCGGAGTGAGAGAGATGTCAGTGAGTAGGTATCAAGCTCAAAGTTTCCGTAGTACCTGCAGGTCTTGCGCGGCGTAGACAAGCATGAGAAATTTACAGCTGCAGTCTAGGGCTATACGCAAGCATTTAAGGTTGCGAATATCCAAAGACATCTGGGAATATCGAACCACCACAACTCGTTTGCTCAACTTGTACCCCGGAAAATGGCTCAGCCTAAGAAAATCCTTATCGTCGGTGGAACGGGAATGATTGGAGGATACGCTGCCCTTCACCTTCGTTCTCGTGGCTACGCCGTTTCGCTTGCTGGTCGTCACCCCGTAAAAGATATCCCGATTCTCAAAGACCTCCCATTCATCAAGATCGACTATGTCTCTGGAGAGTACACGCCAGAAATATTCTCAAGCTTTGATAGCATCGTCTTCTCGGCTGGTTCCGATGTACGACACGTCCCTCAAAACAATTCTGCGGACGAGTATTACCTACAAGCGTCCAAGGCCATAGTAAAATTTACTCGATCAGCCCGAGATGCCGGCGTTGCGAGATTCGTGCACATCGGCAGTTTCTATTCGCAAATTGCACCTCAGCTGATCGATACAGTCCCCTACGTACGGTCACGAAAGCTTGCTGCTGATGGAATCACTTCACTGGCAACGACTCAGTTCCATGCGTGCAGTCTGGATGTTCCATTTGTCGTCGGGATCGTGCCAGGCATGAAAGTCCCAATGTTTGTGGCCTATACTCAGTTTGCGGAGGGCAAGCTTGGTATACCTCCATCAGCACCTACTGGAAACCCCAACTTTGTATCCGTCGAGTCTTTGGTCATAGCGATCACCGCCGCGCTAGAACGGAGTGAGTCCGTGTCTGGTAGAGGGATCCTCATTGGGGGCGAGAACCTCACATTTTCGGAGTATTTTGGTCTGTTCTTCTCAGCCGTGAGCAATCATACAGCGATATCCGCTTCAGATCAGGAGCATCCTCTGATGTCAGATTCGTCTCTCTGGGCTGGGCGTAATATCGAAGCTTACGAGCCAGACGCTTCGGATGAAGCCCTCCTTGGTCACTATCGTCGCGAAAGCATTCGAACTACTGTTCAGCGGATAGTCGCAGAATATCGTTCATCATAGTTTGGGTTACAATGGGATAAGATCATGCGGTCGCTCTCCGCTTCCATACTCAGCCCTGACTCTGAAGCCTTGTTCCATCAGCCTTGCTCGAGCTGCTCTTCCACGCTAACAATCGCAGCGCAATATGCGATTAAAGCCACCACCGTAGACTAAAGACACTGACGCCTCTGCATCATGCACATGCATGCACACACTGATTGTGGACATCTGAAAGCTCAGTGAAGCTAAGAATTGCGGTGCAACAAGCACCCATGACATGCACAAATGATTGGCCCAACGTGCAGTTTGCCCATTGAACACATACTTCTTTGCTTACGTATTCAGCCCTGGCCCTTCAGCCTTGCTTCAGTTGCTCCTCCGCGCTAGAAATTGCAGTGCAAAAAATAGTGCAGCAGCCACAAATATTCCCCTACAGCAGCGGTGCATTAGTGCCTCGCGCATAGCTGCATATACACCTGGGGATTGGCCCAGAACATCCGGCCTGAGCCAAATTCAAACTGTATCAGCACACAACGACTGCTCCTCTACGCTAAAGATTGCAGTGCAATTTGTTTTATTCTCACTAGAGTACGTGTAGATTTGCTATTCGCTCTTCACTTACATATTCAGTCTTCAGCCTTGCTCCCACCGCTTTTCCGCGCTAGAAATTGCAGTGCAACATGCAATGATCCTGCAGTGAATATTTGTGGCTGCTTGTTGCCCAGCGCATGGCTGCATATACACCTGGGGATAGGCCCAGAACATCCGGCCTAAGCCAGATTTACACATTGTTCTAGCACATAACGACTGCTCCTCTAGCTAAAGATTGCAGTGCATTTACAAGTCGACTTCCACCATGCACGACTCACCGATCTGGTCATCCCAATCAAGTGCACCAATGATCAAACAACTCGCGCTGCTGGCCTGTTGTAAACATAGTGACTAGAATTATGTCACTCAAATTATTCATGCCAAACTACGGTCTATCTTAATACTTCCCACTCTCCTTGACCAGCCCATTCTTCTCATTCTCAGCCTTGGGTTTCAACGCCCACTCGGGCGCCTCATCAATCTCATCCTCCTCGGCCTTATCCCCCTCCTCCTTGGTCTTATGCACACTACTCGGCAAATGCTCCGCAGGCGCATACACGGTAATCAACTCCAGCGGCTGATCCCCCTTTGTAACAAACTGATGCTGTGTGCCAGCCGGCACAACAACGACATCACCCGCCTTGACCTCCTGATCCTTGCCATTCACCGTCGCAAGGCCCTTTCCCGAGGTAAACAAGAGGATCTGGTCGACGGTGTGGACTTCGTCGCCAATCTCGCCGTTGACGGGTACTTCCATGGCGACGATTTGCGAGTAGAGACCCGTGTGCAGGACGGTTCGGAAGTCGCCAAACGACCGCTTTTCCGACATGAGGCCGGGGAAATGCACCATTTCATGTTTGGGGGGCGCGTCTTCCCGGTTTCCGACTTTCTTGAAGGCTTCCATCTTGGGGGCTGGGGCGTAGAGTCTTGGGGTGGAGGTAGACAAGGATTTGGTAGTGATGGTGGGTGTTGCAGTTCGCTTTGTGAATGTGGATGTGGATAGGCGGAGAAGCCGGGATGTGGTGTTGAGCATTGAAGTTGTTTGTGTGATGTATATGTTTTGATGGCAACTTATATGGTTGTTATATGCTATGTCGTTCTATACTGCATCACACATCGCGTCAGCGCGCGTTAGGGATCGAGGTCTAGACTCCATGGTATGCATGACGTCACTATAACGTTCCTTTTGCGATGTACGGGCACATTGCCCCGTCCGGTGCGCTAGGAAGTTCAAGTATGTGCTGATTGGTGGTCTGCCATGTATCAAGTCATGGTGCGTGTTTTGAGTGGTGTCGTACCTGATTATGTGATGGTTATACGATGCGAGCTGGGATCAGGGTGCTAGGTAAACTAACGGAACACGTCCCGCTACATGCTGCACGTGGTAAGACCTGTAGGTCACTACTGTGGGTACTATTGAGAGGAGAACGATATTTTGATTATAGTTGCAATGCTCAGATGTATGAACAGGCGGGAAGTGATACTATCTCCAAGCCTATTATGACCTAGGACCTGATTTGTGGAACTTGTTGGTACATGGCTACATCATGCCATCCAAAGAGCGCTATAGAATAAGTCGGTTTGCTCTTGGGATCCTAGTATTGAGCGCGGTGTTCTTGCAAGGTCTTGCTGATACCAAAATCCAGCGGGCCTGGTGTCGGCATGGCTGTTGCTGGCGGGCTCGCCCACCTTTGCTTCGTTCATGGAGAAGCAGAAGAGTCGCGTTACAGTATCGCGATTGCCATTTAGAAATTACCAAATAGGTCTGTATTCATTAGACGCGATTGCGACCAGCGACTTCTTCCTTTTCCTCTTCGAGCTCTCGCTCAACCTCCTCTTCTTCAGTAGGTTTAGGGCTCTTGACATCCTTGGCAGGAACGTCCCCACCACTCATTTGCCATTCCATGAGCTTGTTGAATGCGCCCTCTGGATTTGAGCTGAGCTGCTCGTAGGTGCCTTCTTCGGCTACTCTACCGTCAGCATCGATGCAGATGATACGGTCAGAGCGCTTGATTGTCGACAGGCGATGTGCGATGCTAATAGTTGTATTGTTCTCCTGGAGGAGTTTGTTGAGTGCTTGGTTGACAAGAGTCTCCGACTCGGCATCGAGAGCACTTGTTGCTTCGTCGAGGATGAGGATGTCGGGCTTCTTGATGAGTGCTCGTGCAATGGCGATACGTTGTTTCTGGCCTCCTGAAAGCTGAGTACCTCTGGCGCCAGCGTGTGTTTCAAGACCGTCGGGCTGTACAGATTAGTAGGAATCTTACATAAAGAGGTTCATACTTACGAAATCACTGATGAACTGGCAGTTGGCCTTTCGTGCAGCAGCCACAATTTCAGCGCGAGTGGCATTAGGCACACCATATGCGATGTTCTCGGCGATGGTACCAGAGAAGAGAACAGGCTCCTGGCCAACGTAACCAATCTTTCTTCTCAACTGCTTCGCATTAAGAGTGGTAATGTCTCGGCCATCGATAGTGATAGTTCCGGTGTTGGGGACATAGAAGCGCAGGAGGAGACTAGCGACTGTAGACTTGCCAGCTCCGCTAGGCGCCACGATGGCCACATTTGTTCCTTGCTCAATCTTGAAGCTGAGGTCCTTGAAAATAGTGACTGCTGGCCTAGTGGGATAGCTAAAAGAAACATTTCTGAACTCAATGGGGCCGCGCGCTGACCTGACTGGCAGACCCTTGGTGGGGGATATTGTCGGGTTGCGATCTTGAAGCTCAAAGAGACGACTGGCAGCTCCAACACCCTTCATCATTTCACCGTAGAAGCCAGACAGACCGACCATACTGGAACCGGCATAGACAGTGTACATCAAGAACGAGGAGAGTTCACCAATAGAAATGACTCCGTTCTTGACCATGTTGCTGCCAACATAAAGAATGGAGATGATGGTCAAGTTGCCCATCAATCCAGTGCTTCCGTAGAAAGTTGCGGCGACCACGGCTTCCTTCTTTCCTAGAGCGAATATCCTCTTGATTTGTCGATTGTAACGTGATGCTTCTTGGACTTCTCCAGCGAAGGCTTGACTTGTTCTAACATTACCCAACCGCTCTTCAGCAATCTTAGTCAAAGTTCCCAAGTTCTTCTGAATCTTGCGACTCAAATTCCGTAGCGAGCGACCAGAGAAGAAGGCGACGAGAGCGACAGGTGGAGCAATCAGGGCGAGGATACCAGTAAGCTTCAGACTGACGAAACCCATCATGGCAAAACCAGCTGCACCGCTGACGAGCGCACGCAGACCGTCAGACAAGTTCTGCGTGATGCTCTTTCCAACGATGATGGTATCGGAACCGAGACGGGAGATGAGATCTCCAACCCTGTTGGCGTCGAAGAACTCTGCGTTTTGCACGAATGTCTTGCGGTAAAGCTGGGATCGCAGGCGAGCCACGATGCGTTCTCCAACAATGCGCAGAATGATGATACGTCCAAAGTTGAATGCCGCGCCAGTTGTCAAGACACCCGCCAGTGCGAAGTAGAAGACGGAGGGAGACATGCCAAAGAGTAAGCCATCGGTGTTCTCGGTCGAAGTTGCAGCGTCCAAGATCTTGCCGATTGAGAAAGGTACAGATAGGGAGATGCCAGATCCCACGAGCAGGAACACGAAAGCCCAAGAGAGTACGCCTAGCTCCGGTCGGGCAATCTTGATCAATCTCCAGATTTCTTTCATGCCACCGGGTGTGCTTCCAGAACCAGACCCATCCTTGCTGAGCTTGGCGCTCAAGTTGACCTGCTTCGCTTGTGCTGCCTTCTCAGACTTCGCGAAGCCTTGTTCCTCGTTCTCCAATTCGCCATCGTGCTCTTCAACATCCACGATGCCCTTTTCTTTAATCTCCTCCCTGTATGACTTGCGCTGCCTTGCAGGCTTTGTACCGCTCGACGCTTCCGCTAATAATCGCGACGTAGTGAACATGCGAGCCGGGCTTGGTACGCCATTGTGACGTGTGGTGCCCGTGGTTGCGAATCGGGATATCGACGATGGAGGGAAGAGACATGGCACGGCGCTGTTCGGCGACGGCCTAGGTATCGAAGCTGTTGAAATTGGCTTGGTAACGAATGACGTTGATGTTTGGCGTGTTGCTGTCGTCGAGATGCGCGACTGTATTTGTGAGAAGAGGGCGCCGTTGCCTGGGCCGTGCCAGGCCTTCGCCGAGAAAACCAGCGGGCCGCGCATGGCGTGGAATGGGTAGACTGGACGGCTACCGGAGAGTGAGAGCGGATTGGGGCGTTATTGAGGCATTCCACATGGCGATACACGGGCGAACGTGGGAGTGGACGACTTCGGAGATGTCAATCAAAAGTTCGGCGCCGCCCTGATGACGACAGGACTCGCCAAGTGCCGCGGCTCGATCTCCGATATCACCCTGAACGTTGAACCAGGGCACACAACTCCAACCCCTTTACTTCTGGTACACAGTGTCAACGATCAAAGTACGATAGATATTCACGGGGGCTGATTCTACTTTTTGTTTGCAAATCTACGACGTCATCATCTCGGCATGCTATAGCTGCGGGCTCCTGCTATGCGGGCACCATCAATCCACGATAGTCTGACAACTATATAGCACTGAGATCAAAAGACATTGGGATGTCACGATCAATGTCAAGCTCAGACGAACAACGACAAATGTGATCGAATAAGAACTTGAGCACCAGCGCCCGGCCTTGCAGCCTATCCGTAGTATGACTGGAAAGAGCAAGTGACAACTGAGTCATCTTCACTCACCGTGAGGCGTTCCATGCACCACAGGATAATATGTAGTAATCCTCAAGGAATATCGTTTCTCGTCTATCCTCCCAGGACTACGATAACGCGCCTGCACAATTAGAGTACCATCATCAGCCATGGCATCCCCACCCTCTCTGATACATCTAGACGGCACAACTCTCGAAGGTGGCGGCCAACTCCTCCGAGTAGCCCTTGGTCTTTCGAGTCTTACCAGAAAGCCGATACACATTACCCAGATCCGAGGCAGGCGCTCTGGTGGCGGAGGACTGAAAGCTCAGCACCTGACTAGTGCCGAGTGGCTAGGCCGAGCCAGCGAGGCGAAGATCATTGGTGCAGAGCTCAAGAGCAAGGAGATTGTATTTACTCCAGGAGCTGCTCTTCAAGTTAATAATTTATCAAACGCTAGTGAGGTGCAGATCCGACAGACGACTCCTGGAAGCGTCAATCTGGTATTGCAAGCTATCCTACCATACATCCTCTTCTCTGGCGTCGAACATCCAATCCGAGTCCGCATAGAGGGAGGAACCAACGTCTCCAATGCACCCTCGATCGACTACATAACTCAAGTTCTTATCCCAATGCTCCAGTTGATCGGCATACCACATATCGCCATCGCTGTCCACTCGCGCGGCTGGTCACAAGGCAGCGCAGCCATTGGCAGCGTCACATACACCATCACACCTCTGCAGGCCAGACAACCAGGGTTCCAGCTAACCGAGAGAGGAGACATTGTCAGCATAACTGCAACGATCATAGCACCGCGGCATACCGAACGTCAGTTTCGCGAGGAGTTGGACAACATGTTTGAGCGACGAATACTCCGCTGCCTTGGCAGTAATGCCAGTAATGCAGAAATAGATACTACCATCACATTCGAGAACTCACATCACGAGAAGAGATATTATCTTCTCCTTGTAGCGACAACATCTACTGGCATGAGAATTGGTCGCGATTGGCTCTATGATCGCGGTTTCAAGTCCGGCCTTCTCGAGCGCATCGTTCCCGGTATGGTGAAGAAAGTGTCTGATGATTTGATGGCAGAGATTGAGCATGGAGGATGTGTGGATGAGTATTTGAGGGATCAGCTGGTTGTGTTTCAGGCGCTTGCTCGAGGGGAAAGTCGGGTTTATGGGGGAAAGAAGAAAGATGGGGGGTTGCTGGAGCCGAGTCTGCATGCAAAGACTGCTATGTGGGTGGCGAAAGAGATACTTGGGGTGAAATTCGATGGAGAGAGTGTATGTGAGGGTGTGGGGTACGCACCTACTGTTGTGAATGTGGTGGGAGACGATATGGCAAGGAGTTTGGAGGCGTTAGCTGTTTCCTCGTAAGACAATATCAATAAGACAAATGTGTATTGGAATATCAATCTACATCCCACAAGATTTTATCATCGTGTCCCAAGGGCACCTGGATCTGACTGCCGAATTTAGTTTACTACTAGCATCTCCGCGTTGACTTTATCGCCATTGCGAACCTAGTGATAGAACCTGTAAGGAGCAAAATCAAGCAAAGCCCGTTTATACTCTGCGCTAGATAACTTTCCCTTCTACCAGTGGTTAATTCCGCGTAAATATCAAACGGTGCTACCTTGTCACATTAGAAGCCCCAGTCTGCGACGCTTTCTCAGGCTCAGGAGTACGGTCGTCCTTGCTGGCTGCAGTGGCTTTGTCCGCCTCGGTAGTATGAACCTTGGAGGAACTATGGGTACCAGGTGCAGCTTCAGAATACATGGGGCGCGGAGGGCTATCTGGGAAATGGTTAGTTGCGCACTTGGACGGATGAGAAGTACGAGGCGATTGATGACTTACTCTTGGTGTTGATAAGGTCGGTGTATGAGCTGAGGGTGTCGGTTTCGTGCATGAGTTCGGTGGTATGGGAGATGGACATGATTTAGAAGGGTTCAATAAACGTGTTGAACAAGAGTAGTTGAGAAATATGGTTGAGACTTCGTTATGTTCTTAGGATTTGAACAAGATAAACGATCAAGAAAGAGGTTGAGGGGGGAGGGAGTTTTCAAATGAGTATATATACAGCTGCATATAGTGAAGCCAAGTGAGTGTTTGGAACACACTTCTACTGCGATACGATACAGTGTAAGTCGACAGCGTTGTTCCTGCATTTCATTACTAGCACGTCCATCATATTGATAGAGGTTGAGGTGAAGAGGCGGAATCCCATTACACAAGTCTCACTCCTGATATTTTATCAATCACTCAATTTGCTTCCATTCACGCACCTGCAGAACTAGCTTGCGCAGCCAAAGCTCTGGTCTAGTACTCCTGTATCGGCTATGAATGGTTTTGCGAAGACATTAGAGAGAAGAAAATGTCTACCTGGTATCAGTTACTATGCAGCCAACGAGGCACGCGCAAACTCAAAACATATATAGACCATCCGCAATCTTGTAATCACCGCTTGGAATGCGACATCGACACAGCGTATTCCCACTTGCAGAGATAAAATCATGAAGTCGGTGTAGACCAGTACATGTAGACTTAGGAGTTCGGAAAGTGGGGGATAGAATATAGACAGCAGCGACTACTCTTTGTTCTTTCCCCAATAGTTTAACGATACATGTCCTAGCTAGAGTGGGTCGGCTGTCGGCGGGTGAGTTGACCGTATTACCAGAATGCGATGTATGGTCTTCCGTCATGTTGCAGTGAGAGTTAGTCATGATTACCATAAGTGGTAACCGGCTGTCTGAGTGATCTCACAACCTCCACATTGTCGTGGCGAATTTAATGCCCGAATCCAGGGTCGTGGCAGCTGCGACACAGATCCTCGACTCGTGTGGGGCCGCTAACAGAGCGTTCTCAACGTTCTTCCACGACGGCGGAACACGACAACAACGCGGACCCTGCGTGTGTTCGCGGAAGTAAAAGGCGGCACGTCAGCCTTGCTGTGGCGTAGTGTGGCATGTTGAGAAACAGTTTTGAGTTTGTATTTGCCAGGCATATCCTTACATGCAGTAGAGTGAGGTTCTGATAGGGCAAATTCTCCCGTAAAAGCCGGTGGCGTTGCATCGACGTAATAGTGCTGCAGTACCAGATCGCGATATTTTGGCGAGAGTGCTGAATGCGATCAAGATGAGGGGAAACATGGTCGAGTTAGTCTCTTCACAGAGAAGCGCGGCCAGAGTCACGATGGATATCTGGCGTATCTGGCGGCGTCGGGCCCAGGGCCGAAATGTGGTTATCAGATGCGATTACTGCCGAGAGACCGAGGGTCGGGCGGCGTGACAGTGGCATGTTACAGAGATTGCGCGATTATGTGGTGAGAAGGTCTGCGCTTCAGCTCGTAGTACTTGCGGTCAACAGTATGTTGCGTTGATGAGTACCATGATCAGGAGATATAGCTGGTGCCGAGGGCGCAGCCAAGATAGGTGGAAGACGGCCGAATCAAAGCCTCTTTTCGGATAAAGCAGGACGAAACAGGTGGGAATACGAGCGGCTTCGGCGATGGGGCGTGGGCAAGCGTCATTCGGCAGAAGTGGGCATTCGGGATGCTCATCTCAGGCTTGAAGGCGTCGTGGATCGGCAGTGGAAAAGCGTCCGGGCTCAGTCGAACATTTGTTCACCACCAGTCCTCTCCTCATGCTCATACCCTCTACCACGGCTAGAACCCGCCTAATACCATTCTATACACAGTCACCATCCATCGTGTCACCAGTCTCGGGCATTAGCAAGCGGCTGTCACTTGGTCGTGTTCGTTTGTCAGCCAGTCGAGGTGAGTGATGGCCACGATCTGATAACGAAATTCGGTGCATCACCAAAGCATCAGATAACCACGCATCCCCCACATGCTCGTTGTCGCACACCTCCGTCCTCCGCGGCTCAACAAGCAAATGGCAGATGCGCACCCACATCGCGCTTTCTTGATGCATTGAACACCCCATAGTAATACCAGGTCAGCTCTTGCTAACCATGGTTTGCGCTAGCAGTCCCCTTTGTCGCGTCCTCAGCACGCTCGCCGTTCCTCCTCCACCTCACTCCACCACGCAGACACATGGCAGCCACGACAGCGACAATGCCCAGCCCCATACCACACACGTCGACCTCGCACCCTGAAGACCCCATTCCCGCTGAGCCTAAAGACATACCCCAGCTCTCAGTGCAGCCGTCGCAATCACAGCCAGAGCAGACGTCGCCCAAGTCATCAGGCGAGTCGACGCTGTGGACCAACAGCAGCGATGACTCCGAGGCCCCAATGACGCCCATGACTGAGCCCGACCAGGGCGTCGAGGAGGTAGTCGACAAGCTACAGGCGCTGCCTACCTCGGCTGTCAATTTCTCGGAGCAGTCGCGACCCCGGCGAGCATCCACCACTCTCATCTCAGACAACCCAAACGACATTCGACGGATACTGGGTGAGGGCGAGACAGCCACCAAGCTCATTAGCCAGTGCTGTGGCGGAGGATGCTGCCTTCTCAAGACACTGGCCCCGGACTCGTCGTCGCCCAATTTCATACCTGTCGTCGTCCCCGACAACCATGCCTTTAGGAGCCTCAATCTCCAACTGGGCCCTCTCGCCCTCGACAGCGAGTTAACCGATACGATTCCGCTGCCTCCAGTCAACATGTCTTTCGAGCCGCTGCCTTCCAAGGACACAAAATATGTCTCGGAGGTGCACAAGATGCCGCCAAAGTACGTCCAACCACACCCGCCTTACGAGGTCTACTCGGCGCCGCTATACCACGCACGAGAGTTGACCAAGCCGGGCGCTGAGAAGAGGACAATTCACTTCGACATCGATGTCACCGACTACCCCGATGAGGGAGGCGTTGATTTCAAGGTCGGTGGTGCCGTCGGCATCTGCCCGCCCAACTCGCAGGAAATGGTCGATGAGCTGTTCGATCTCCTCTGCATTCCCAAGTTTGTCCGCGACAAGCCAGTCACACTCAAGACCCAGACCGGAAGGTGGCCGACCATCTGGGGCGAAGACCAAGCCCGCGAGCTTGTCACAACCCGACGCGAACTGTTGACCTGGTGTGCCGACATCCAGTCACACCCACCGACCAAGAACCTCCTCCGCGTGCTCGCTGAATATGCCGACGCCCCGAACGAAAAGAAGATTCTGACCTATCTTTGCTCGGCCCAAGGACAAGCAGCCTTCTGCGACTTGCGCACAACTTCTCACTTCACAGTCTCACAGATGCTCAGCGCATTCCCTTCGTCGAAGCCGCCGCTCCCACACCTCCTTTCCGTCCTCACCCAACTCATGCCTCGATTCTACTCCCTCTCGAACGACCCCCATATCTCGTCAGCTCGTCCCGGCCTTCCCGGCACCCGTCGCCTGATCGAGATGGCTGTTACAATTCACGAAACACCCGATTGGCATGCGGAGGGTGCTACACGTACTGGTGTAGGCAGTGGCTTCATGGAACGCCTCGCACACTCGTTCATCTCAACAGAGAGCGAGGGTGTCGACCCCCGCAGCATCCTCGACCTTCGCGTACCCATGTTCCGCGGCCTTATGGCCAACCCGCTCTCCAAGCAATTTGGTGGCGAAGGCCCAATGGTGCTCATCGGAGCAGGAGTAGGCATGGCTCCGTTCCGAGGCTTCATCCTGAATCGACTCAAGAACGCCAACTGCGCCAACAAGATCTGGCTCATCCAAGGAGTACGAGACTCTATGCTCGATGAGCTCTACTCTGGTGAGCTTGGCGATCACGAGCGCGAAATCAAGAAGGTTGTGCAGAGTCGAAAGGTGAAGGTTGGAGGCTCCAACGAGGTCAAATACGTTCAGGATGAGGTCCGCGTACAGGCTGACATTGTCTGGTTCGTCATCAATGCTCTTGACGGACGCATCTTTGTCTGTGGCTCTAGCAAGGGCATGGGCGAGGGTGTTGAGGAGTCTTTGATTGACGTGGCCATGCAAAAGGGCCGTTTGAGCGAAGCGCAGGCCAAGGAGTTTTGGGCGAGAAAGAGGGAGGATGGGCAGTACATCGCTGTAAGTACATTTCTAGCACTCGATTGACACATATACTGACAAGACCACAGGAAACATGGTGAACACGCCACTATCTCCGCATTACATTGTAAATAAGAGAGTTACGATTTCCATACTTTACGACCGCGTCTCCAAATTCTCGACACTGCCTACCTACCGCTAGCAGCATATTCGCCATGGCGTTTCAGATTTACTAAAAAAGAAAAAGGGAGTCATTTGGGAATCGATATGGGCGGCAAACAATATAGTTGGAACAAAGCAAAGCATGTCCAATTGTGGTTGGGCTGTTCTCAAGGCTTATTGGCCGCTTTTTTTTCTTGGGATTGGACGGGACGTTCATCATTATCATCGTCATCGTCATCATCATCATATTAGAAGGACATGCGCGCAAGAGCATGGCGTTTGTTTGTGGGAAAGGGATAGGGATAGGGATATTTGCTTTTTGTTGCTGTCGTTATGGGAAGGATGAGGTGGTGTTGGGTGTGCGTTGTTGATGGTGATAGCACAGAGAGAGATAATTGAAGATATCGTCATGTACTGAGACCTGGAGTGTGGTATTGTTCTATGGTGAGCTTTGTTCGATTGTCGAGAAAGTGACTCAACTTCTTACACGTTACATTCATGTCTGGTAATGTTCAATGTAGCTGGCGAAGTGCGGTTTACTACTGTCTTCTGATTCTAACATGACGAAGGATCAAACATAACTGCATATGTAGATTCACCAGGTCAGTGTACGTCTCACATGGGTTTGGTATAGCCGGAACTTTCCTATCTTGCGGAATGCCAAAGTTTAAAAGCTCCGCAGCACGTGACCAAAAAGTGTCTCTCACCTTCCTCATACGTGGATGTCGATTTAAGCACTCAAGCAAACGCTGACTGGATGTGGTCTTTGCGCAGCCATAGCAAGTACACTGCGCCTCCTTCCTTCTCTCACCTTCCTCAACAACGCAACCACACGCCCAACACGCCACTGTGAGCACCAATACCCTCGGCTATGGCAGTCCTGCTCGGACTTCCAAACGAAACCCTTCTTCGCATCTTCCACTACCTCCTACAGAGCGTCAAGCATCCCAAGCCTCAAGCCAACTTGCTGAGCCTGATCTTGACATGTAAACGGCTGGCACCACTCGTCCGCGAGGTCCTCTTTACCACTCCGATTCTTCACCCATGTAAAATCGACATATTTCTCACTACTCTCTTCAAGTACCCGGACCTACAGTCGAAGATTCAAAGCCTTGCCCTCGAGTCGAACAAGATTCACCGAAGCTGGGTGATATCAGACCCTGCCCGTGTCCGGGGTCAGGACACAGAAATTTCCTCTAAATGTGCTGGCATTCTTCACACTTTGAAACTTGACGAGGAGGTTAAGCAAGAATGCATTCACATTCTTCAGGGTAAGTCTGGATGGCTTGGCAACATAATTAGCCTTGTCTTAATCCTACTACCGAATCTTTCCTCACTATACCTTGGTGGCACTCCATTTTCCGGCCTCACCTATCTTCAGTCAGTCTCGGAACAGGATTCATATCGATCGATGTCTGGAATAGATCATATCCGCATTCCAACTCAACTCAGCGCCAAACTCACTTTCCTTGAACTACCCAGTGGCTGCGAGTTTCGTGGAGGAGTGCCAAAAAGGCAACCACCTTTCTTCTTTCCCGAGCTACGACATCTCATACTGACATCTGAAGACTTTGCTGGCATTCCACCTAGAGACATAATCACACCTAAACTGGAAACTTTGGTTTTGACCCAATGCAGACTCAGTGTGGGCGGCCGGCTCAAGGACGTAATACTAGCTCAAGAAACTTCCTTCCCGAGCTTACGTAGCTTGAGCATGTATCGTCAATCTTGGAGAGCGGGGTTTGCCCCGTCACTTCTGCGTGAAACGAAGAGGCTGGGTATAACGCGTAAGCCATTCCTCCATTCTTCTCATAAGATTCTTCTTGCTGACCTTAGACGTCTTGTATGACGAACTAGTCTACGATTACCATCCACAGGGTTTTGAGTTCTATCATGAATTGAATCATCCATGGCTATACACTCAAGCTGAGCTTGATGCTTTCAACGCGATGAGACATAAGGAAACTCAGGAATCGAAGAAGCGGTAGAGTGGACAGAAGGAGACTGGTAGCAGGCCTGTGTGGAGGGAAGTGGAAGGCTTGCGAGCCCCCCAAAGGTTAGGCCAGATTTGCACCCGCACTTGTTGTGAGGCGATCGTATGCGCCATGTCGCAAGGCTGTCTTCTTGTCTGACAAAATAAAAAAATACTTTCATAGTTGTGAAAATCTGCTCTAATCCCATTGCCTGTACTAGCACATTCAGGAAGCGCCACTTTGCACACCACTACCCAACGCCAGGCCAACCTGCATACAGTCAGTGAAAGCGTCCTGGCATCATCATCATCGGCGCCTCTGCGAGAAAACTTACTCCAGACGGTCAGCCCCTCATTAACTTTGGCCACATTGACTCTATCTCCCACCCTCCACACCTCCTCCGTCTTCTTTCCATTGCTCCCCCAAAACCCATACCGTCCGAAGACCGGACTCCACTTCGCCCCGATATCGACCCTCCGATCCTTCTGCAACCTCTTCAGCACCTCACCCGCTGGCCCTTCTCCCGGTTTACCCGTCTTGTGGTCAATATTAATGCTCTTGCACCTCACACAATTATGCGGGAGGATGATTTCCGTTCTCCCATTAACCGTAAGCTTACCCCAATAGTCTTCCTGATACGGATCATAAGCACCTTCAACAACGACGTTGGGACGGAACTTTTCAATATCCATATCCACACCCTCTGGAAGCCGGGACGACACATCTTCAAGACTAGTCTGCGAAGTGAAAAGATAAGGCGCACAATCCGCAAAAGTAATCTTCCAGCTCTCCTCCCCAGATTTATGCAAACCCATTACTTTTTCCACATACGACTTTGTAAACGGCACATGTTTGCTCAGAAACCGGGTCAGCGGATCTGGTTCCAGCGGCTGCATGTCCTGGAACTTTACGTCACGGAGATTGGCGCCTAGGTAGACGAAGATGACGGGATACCCGAAGCAGGAGGTGAACCAATCGTTGTATTTTTGCGGCATGCGATGGGCGGTTGTCGGAGCAGAGTGCATGTTGATGTCGATGGGATCCAGTTTCTCCGTGTCTGGCTCCAGAGGTATGTCAATTGATGATTCTTTCGAAACGTCTCCGCACGCAATGTATTTGACGGTGATGGTGTTGTCTTTCATCTCCTGGAGGAACTGCGTCATTTCGGGGTAGCCTGCTACGGCCATGTTTTTGTAGCCGTCTTTGGTTTCCTGGAGGAGCATAAAGGAACCTGTGGAGGTGTTAGCGGTTTTTCTTGTTGTTGTTATTCCCATCCCGCATGGATGGTGGTGTATTGTACGGTCGTGTTTGAATCCATGGGCTGTGGCAATGGCTTCTGTGACTTTAATCGCTCGTAGCGATTTGATGGGGTAGATGTACATCTGAGAATCGCCATCATCAGTACTTCTCTTTACTTGCATCATGTCTTTTGCATCAATGTAGACATACCGCGGAGATCTTCATAGCCGTCAACCGATGTATCAACGGACTAAGGAAGTTGAGCAATTGATACAGGCCAAACGGCACAACGCAAAGTGCCGTGATGAGCCATATCGGCGACACCTTCTCAATGTTGAACTCGTGCTCTTCTTCCATACGGGCAAATCAGACCAATATTCTACAATGGAGAGAATTGAGAATGGAAGATGGTCTTTGAGACGACATTGCGGGTCGCGTCGACATGCATTGAGGCCCACCCCACGTGCACGCCTTACCAAGGCGCTAAGACATGTCGACTACCTCGGCCGTCATCTGTCGATCCTTCAATGACATGTCACAACACTTCGGACATCTGTTTTCACGCCTTACCATGGTAATTGCATAATTACTGCAGCTCAACGGTTTTGACTGAGAGTAGTTAGATTGTAAAGTCTACGGCACAAAACGATACCCAAGACACATCTTTGACGACCGCGTGACTGAGATACTTCTCCTTTATTCCATCCAGCCTTACCAACCTTCAACCTCCTTCTCAAACCCTCTTTCCAAACACCCTAAACCGCTTCACACCACCATCCGGGATGATGACCAATTTGGCATGCGTGTACCCCCTCCCCTTGACCTCCTTGAGCTCAGCCTTGTACTCCTTCTCCACATCCGGCCCGGACCTCTGCGGCTCCAGCACCTCAACCCACCCCGCGTCATCACTAGCAGGCTCCTTATCAAAGCTACCAGCAAAGACCTGCACCTTCTGTGGGAAATTACCTCTAAAGTGCGCAGTGTCAATGACAATGTGATCGATTTCGCCCTTTGCGCCTAAGCGCACAATTGTCCAGTCGACGTGCTCGCCGCGCGTACGCTTCGTCTCCCACCCGTCGCCCATGTCTTTTCCGCGACCGGGCAGGAGTAAGTTGTCTTTTGTGCCAAAATGTTGGTCCGAACATGACGTTGCGACGCCGCCCATGACAGTGGCCGAGAGTTCAAAGACGGCGTCGGAGGACTCTGGGAAGACTGGCACGGCTACACCGTAAAGCCGAAAGCGCGCGATACCGCCGTCAGGGTACATGAGCAGCCTAACGTGCGTGTACGCCTTGTCTGTGATGCTGTCTAGTTTCCAGCCATGCCGTTGGCTAGGCCCGCACTCTTGCTTCGATAGTATGGTTTCCCAGCCTGCGTAGCTGGCCTTTTTCACTTCCTCTTCCTCCTTCTCGTCTGTGATGAATGCACCTTCGACAGCGATTTCAGGGGCGTGGTTCCCGTTGAATGCAAAAGTGTCGATTTCTACACCGGCTACTTTTCCACTGGCGGTACCTAGTCTCAGGACCACCCAGTCGAAGGGTTCGGTATTGTGACGCCGGGTCTCCCAGCCATCGTACCATGCTCCCGAGTGGACGAAGACACCGGGTTTGCGAATCGGTGGTGTCGGCGTGATAAGGTTCTCGGCTGCGGCGAACCATTCGTCGCTAAAGGAAAGGACTTTTGAACCAAGAGGCGCGGATATGAGATCTTTGAGGGGTATCAGCTTCTGTGTGGAAAAGTATGGAAAGAATGAGGTTTGTACCGGTGTATTGTGATTTGAAGGTCGCGTCGATCTCGTCAGCTGGGATCGACCGCGCGTTGTTTGTGGCTACGTTCTTGACGTCTTCTGGTAGGACGTTGCGAATCTCCATAATGTATGAAATATTGTGTAATTGATAGAGGCTGGGTAAGTTTATGCAAGGGAATAAAAAGCAAAGACGATGTTTGGGGATCTCGCTGAGGTACTACCAAGTTATGGCGGGGCATCACTGGTGGGGGAGCTAGTTACCCTGCATGCCCCACCAACAGACTGCTGCTATCGGAATCCGCCGAGCGGATATTGAAGGGGCCGATCGCGGAGTAGTATTGATAACCTAGATACCTGCCTTACTCGATATAAATGACAGTCATGCCAATCCATTGCCTATAGAATGTTGAGGCTTTCTCGCTGCAAATTGTGCCGATGCTACGATAAATTTGCTGTTAGCCCGACGGGCCGCACAATGGTGCAACCCGGCGTACTGATATGTGACTCGATAGGTTGTAGTAATGGTAAACAGATCTATGCATACCCTGATACTATGGTAACATCCAAGTTCTGCGCTATTGCAAGCCTCGACCACCCTAACTGAATCTGCAAAGCTTCCACGGTTACAGCCGAGCCAGTGTCTATATCATCAGATCGGACTGTATGCCGAAGCGTAGTCGACACATAACTTTTACTTGGTCCATCTGGCGAATCACATGCCGGGAATGTTTCCAGTCCACGAACGGCAACGCGACGATAAACTCTGCGGTCAGCAACAAGGCCTCGTAGAGCGGAATTTGAAAGAATTTGGTCTTCGTCTTAGCCAGGCAGTGTGAAAGTGGCTATTCAAAGTCTCAATTAGCAAGGCTCTCAATTCTACCAATCTTCATCTTCACCCATAGCTTGGATCGTTCCAATTCGACTCCGAGTAGTAAGATCCACCATTTTTGTTGTTGCCTCCATTCAAATCCAGCTTAGCCATAAACTCAGGTGGAACGGTGGGAATGTATTTCCGCTCACGCTCTTTGTTGACACCTCCAAATCCGGCACCGTAGGTGATGAGCATATCTGTTGATGTTGGGAGCGAAAATGGCAGCATGTACGAAGGGTCCAGGAGAAGCTCATCGGGTGCTTCGTCTTTTTCATCCTCTTCCAACGATATTCGTGAAGGCGCAGGCGATGGCTCGGGAGGCTTTTCAGAGGTGCCTCTGACTGGTGTGGATGGAGGTTCGGCTTGTGACGGTGGATTGGGCGACCTTGCGCGCGCGGCTTTACGATCTGCAGCTGCTTTCTGCAAATGTACAATGTACTTGGAAGCGCTTTTAGGAAGGGTCTTTTCACCCACCTCGGGTCGGTAATATTTTGCGGTGTGTAGTAGCTGTTGAGGTGACAGGCGTGTCAATTGTTGTAATGTCCCCACAAGCGACTCTAGGTCTTCTCCAAGTGAGGAAAAGCATTGTAACCATTGGAGAAGCTGCACAAGAGGCTCGAGATGACGTTTAGCGGCGTCCGCGGTGTTCTCCCCGGTGGAGGTCATGGAGCCGTTCTCGTAGTGTTCTGGTTGCCGATTGTTGGAACGCGCCCAATCCTCGAGCGTCGAGACGTTCATGCGTATCTGCATTGCTTTTGTTCGCGCGAGGTACTTTCGATTCGACATTATGCGGTTGAAGACTTCGGCAGAGAGCCAGTAGATCAGCTGCGACAGTACCTGCGCAGCGATTACAGAGTGTACGTCGTACAGATCGAGAACAAATAGGGTTGATGAGAGCAAAGAGGTAATGTTCCGGGGTGATGGCTGTGCTCTGCGCTTGGGAGATGGCGGTCGGAAACGTTTCTCGAGAGGTTCTACCGGCTTCGCTTTGGGCTTGGAACGAAATATTTTCCATTCGTGCTGGAACTGTACATCTTCGAATCCAGGCATCGGCTCATGGTCGAGCATAGCTTGATCCAAGTTCTTATCCATCCTGCGCTCAGCATCACGGATAATCAAGATGAAAATCTCATTGATAAGTTCTGCCATCTGCAATTGGAACTCTGTAGTCGCACTCATGAGTCCACCATCTTTCTTGAGGTAATGCAACAGAAGTGTCGCATTAGACATCCAGAAGGCCAGCACAGTCATGTCCCATTGATGCTTCTCTACAACGTCGTTGATCTTGTTCATGGCGGACACCAGCAAAGTCTCCAAGAGTTCTGGATTTGCATGGTAATGTGCATAGCGTGCACTCAGGAAGAGTATGTTTGCAGGTACTGGCTTTTGCGAAGGAGACCGTTGCGGGGTCATATTCGTAATGATGATGTCCAGTATCCGTTCGAGCTCGTTTTCTTGGAACACAAACATCTGGTCATTGAGACATCGATCCCAGATGAACTCTTGGGCTTCTTCTTCTGGTTCTTCAGGTGACTGGGGCTATTAGCGAACATTCAAGGAATGGCTGAGATTCGTACCTCGGGCTGTTCGTCCAGACCCAAATTACCAATATCAACCTCGAGATTGAAGGCGCTCTCCATCATCATCCGCCGCTTCATATCATTCTCCTGCATCTCCTGCTCAAAGCGATCCTGGGAGAAGCCCGAGCTGTAGAAGTCGTCACTGACGCCTACATTACCGATGGCGTACCCGCTCTCGTGCAGATAATCGGAGAGCTCAGTGTTGGGCTCAACAAAGTCGAATGCGGTCCGTCCTCCAGAAGACTTGACGTCTGTCGATGCGCCGTGGTCGAGCAGGAGCTTAACGATATCCTTGTGTCGGTTCGTCATGGCCCACATGAGTGGCGTCCAACGGTTCTTGTCTTGCAAATCGACACTCGCGCCCTGCTCGAGCAGTGTAGCTGCCACATGTTCGTGTCCAAAGCAACTTGCGTAGACCAATGGCGGCGTGCCCTCGGCGTCGACGCCGTTGATGTTGATGTATTCGCGAGCCTTGCCGTCCAGCAGCCGTTTTACCCGTTCGAGCTCACCGTTGGATGCTGCTAGTGTAAACAAGCCTTGTAGTGCTTCTCTCTTTTCCTCGTGTGACAGCTTCTCATCGGCAACGACCTTTGCTTCGTCGCCTGCATTCTCGTTCTTCAAGCGGGCCTGGTGCGCCAACATCTGCACCAGGCGGCTGTCGCTGTCCTCGAGCTGCTGCATGTCTTCGTCACCAAGCGTCGGGTCGTCGAGTGACAAGTTGAAGTCGAGCGGACGGGCGGGCATGGGCGTGGTGAGGAATTGCGACTGGCCTGTGTGAAGTCAGTCTTGGTGGCGCGTCGCTCTTTCCCTAGCGGTTGCTTTCACCTACCCTGCCATGCATCATAGATCTCGGTTTCCTCGTTCATGATGGTCACCGGGCGCCTGTCATTGAGGGAAGTGGGCAGATCCGAAGGCAGCTGTCGCGGCTGCTGCGGCTCTCCCAGGTCGCCCGAATAGGCATGCTCGTGATCGGGAGAGTCCATTGTGTGACATTGAAATGGTGGATGTGCAAGGGTGTCTTGAGGGCGACCGACTACCTCTTGCTCGGATGCATGTGTCAAACGTCGAGGGATGCCGTGTCAAATGTCGAGGGATGCCCGGTCCGTCTGTAGTGGGGCAGCTTCAGTGCAGCAGTCGCAGGCAGGCAGGCAGGGTGTGGTAAAGGAGCGGAAGCCAGTCGCTGTGGATATTGTGACAGGGCGTCTTCTGCGTGCGCCAGGGGCGTAGTATAGTAATAATGCTGTGTAGGTATGCCGATGCACACGGCACTACTACTGTCGTAACCCACGATGATGTCGCTACCAATGGGTGACGCGCCAGGCCGATCTACCGCTACGCCAAATCAAGTTGTCCCAGCGTGCGCGGGGCCAACTCCGCATGTCAGCCACACATGGCACTCGTGATATTTGCTATGGGCACATATGTGAGCCTGGTTTCGAAACATGACTGATTAGTGGCGACGGCTGTTGCTTTTGTGTGAGGCGTGTCGAGTGCAAACCTTCCTTATGGAGTGCCCATGTCGATGATGACGTCTAAGAACAAGCGCGAAGTCTGAGCGCATCCATGGATGGCTCCTGTCCATCTGCTGTGGCTGAGGTGCCATCAGTAAGCATTCCTCATGCGCGTCGACTGCTTCTAGAAGACTGGCATTCGTTGCCTGCGAATCTACCCATCACGCCTCTCCCGCCGATCCGACGCTCTTCACGACCGCGCTCCTACTACCATGGCAGTCGCGCCCACGCTCGTGTTGTGATGGACAGATGGAATGACTTGCGACTTCGCCCTGTACATTGATACCCGACCTATTCTACCCAGAGCATGTCTTAGATGCTTAGCCGCCGCCAACATCGGGAAGACAGCATGACTACGACTCATGACAGCGGGCGGACGCAGCGCTTTTCACATATCTTTGCGCGCCTGCAGGAGCTCCAGAATTATGGCTGGGACCCGGCCATTGAGCCCTTCCACTCCGTAAGAGACACCCGTATCTACCTGGACCACGACTACCGCGACTAACTCAACCAGTCGTACGACAACTACCATTTCTTTGGCCACGAAAAGACTGCGCCCAAGCAGGAACGACCGCAATCGAGGGGACGAAGCGCCGTAACCTCCCCCACCCTGTCGCATTCACCCGACTCTGCCACCCGAAGCCGGCCGACTGTTACGCGCACCCACCGCAGCTCAGGCTCCGATGCGAGCATCCAAACACACCGCACCAATACCACAGTCAAGGGCGTGGCGCGAGAAGGCCGACCGGTCGTATGCCGTGTCTCGGCACAGACTCTGCGACTGGAGCGCGAGTTCCAGCTCGCCAAACTCGTCGTCAAGGAATCGGATCCAGAATGCCGGCACTTTGTTCGCCCTATAGAGTTCGTCCGCCTCTCCACCAAAGCTGGTGAGGAGCCGCTCGTCGCCAGCATATTCGAAGCCCCTGGGCCCAACTACCTCCACGACTTGGTCAACTTTGGTCCCAACTTTTGGAAGGTTACCAGCAATGCACAGAGCCATCAATCAAACCCCTCCATTCCCAACCGTGGTGTGCCCCTCCTTACCTTTCTCGATTTCGCCGTTGGATCAGTCGAGTGTCTGGAGATTCTGCACCATGGTCACGAAATTGTCCATGGCGAAATACGCGGTGATGCCTTCCACTTCGCCGAGAACGGCATTGTCAAGATGATCAACTTCGGCTCTGGCGCGAGGTCCTTTGAAAATGGACTGACCAGCGCAGGGTGGAGTACTTTGTCCAAGGAGACTGGCATCGAGTTGAAGTTGGCCTTCATATCTCCTGAGCAAACCGGTCGCATGCCTGCTGAGCCCGACACACGGACCGACATCTACAGTCTTGGTATCCTTTTCTACACAATGCTAGGTGGTCAGGCGCCCTTTGAAGGCGCTACAGCTCTCGATGTCATGCAGAATGTCATCAGCAAGCGGATCCCACCAATCTCCTCTAGACGTCTAGACGTCCCAGAGGCCCTCTCAGAAGTCATCCAGCGCATGACTCAGCGTAACATCGAGGATAGATACCATTCCACGTCGGGGCTCAAACACGATCTTGCCCGCATCCGTGAGTTACTATGTGAAGGCGATGTCGAAGGACTGAAGGCCTTCCGTGTAGGCTCCAAGGACATCAGTTGCTTCTTCAATCTACCTCTCAAGCTGATTGGTCGTGAGAAGGAAAAAAAGACTATAGTAGATGTCTTGGAGCGGGTGTCAAGGCACCGTCGAAGTAGCATCAAAACTCTACAAAGCTTGAGTTCAGGCTCTTCCTTTTCAGATCAACGACGAGACTTGAGCTTTGACGATGTTGTTTCAGAGAGCACCAGCTCGAGAGGCTCAGATAGCAGGCTCAACAGCGTTTCCGCAGATACTCCCGTTTTTATGGGAGATGCTCGGTCAATACAACACGATTCACAGGACAGTGTAGCACAGTCAGAAGTCTCTACAGCTGAAGGAAGCGTAGATGGCCGACCTCAACTACAATCTGCAAATCGAGGACGATCTAACAATAGCATTGAAAGCTCCGTCCTTCACTCTCGCTCTTATCAGTCCAACGACGGCCTGAGTAGACTAGCCAGCACACGGAAACTAAGACGCAAGGCTCGGTGTGAGGTAGGTCGTCACATCACAGCCCAAGTCATGGAAGAGGTACGCTAATCTCAAGATACAGGTGATAGTGATAGCTGGTACCACAGGATTAGGCAAATCTCGTCTTGTGCAAAGTGTACAGAGCACAGCGAGGAGTACCGGCTATTTCGCCATGGCCAAATTTGACCCTGCAAAGAAAGCACCTTTTGATCCCATCCTAAGATTGATGTCCTCGTTCTTCCGACAGATATGGTAAGCCTCTTACTCACTGTTCTCTCCAACATGAACTACGCTGACACTGTATAGTATGTACACTTGTTCCGAGACACAACTCTTCTCTTCAGAGCAACCGCTAACCATCAATTTCTACTCTAGTCAGCGAGGCCGATGTTATGACAGAATTTCATCAGAGACTGCGCCATTATCTTAGGAACAGCGGAGTTTGGACGGTGCTGCGAACTTACCTTGACCTTCCTGAATGGCTCTTGAACACAAACGGCACAGCAAAAAGTGCGCAGCAAAGGGACCTGGATACAACCAAAGACATGGACCGACGGGCATCGTCTCCTGCCGTTCATTGTGGATCAGCTGGACATACTGCTGAAGCCTGGCTGCGAAGTGGAGGTGCTTCCAAATCCTCTAGATTCATGAATGTCTTTATAGACGTTTTACGACTCCTTGCGGTACACAAGCTTTGTACATGGAGCTTAGAGGATGTACAGTATGCTGATCCAGAGAGTGCTGAGCTGATCCACCACATCGTGCAGGCTAGAATCCCACTTGTTCTTATGCTTACGTACACCAACGAAGAGACCCTGCCCCGGGAACTCATCCCATTACTACGCCACGCCACCAAGGTACAGCTTCTACCGTTTTCAGAGGCGCAGACTGCGGACTATGTAGCCGAAACGCTCCATCGAGATCGTCAATACATCCTCCCTCTGGTAGCGGTAGTCCAGGAAAAGTCTCGAGGCAACCTGTTCTACATACGCGAGATACTTGACACTTGCTATCGCAAACGATGCGTGTACTACGAGTGGCGGGAGAATAATTGGGTTTTTGACCTCGACAAGGTTTTCGCAGTGTTCGAGAGCCCAGAGTACGGTTCATCCGTGACGACTGATTTTATAGCAAAGCGATTGACGGAGCTGCCATCAGCAAGCAGGAAGCTCCTAGCATGGGCTTCTCTTCTGGGCGGCACATTCTCGTTTGAGCTCTTACAGAAGCTACTCAACCCAGCGAATAAGCCCGCTGATGCCGGGAGACTGCCTCTTTTCGACGAAAATGAGAGTGCCGTCACAGCCCTCGATGCAGCGCTCAAAGCCTACGTACTCATGCCCGCTGACCAGGACGCTCGATTCAGATTCAGCCACGATCGATACCTCACAGCAGCTGGCAACTCTCTTGACAGCGATTGGGACACGCAGCTGATGCACTTCACAATCGCTAAGATGATAACTGCTGGCGAGGAATACAACGACGACTCAACGATCGGATCCAAGGCATTATATATGCAGAGCCGTCACATCTGCCTTGCTGCAGAACTCATAAAAGCCAAAGAGACATACCGGGCTCCATTTCGAGATATGCTGTACCAAGCGGGAGAAACTGCATGCGAGTCTGGTGCAAGATCAACTGGCATCTACTACTTTGCTCACAGCCTGATGCTCTTACAAGATGACCCATGGGACGACAATCAGCCGGATGTCTCGTATCAAGAGACTTTGCAGCTCTTTGTAAGATCAGCAGAATGCTATTGGCATCAAGGCATGTTTGATGAGGCGCTTAGCTTGATCAGGACGACTTTTCAGCACGCGCGGGATCCTTGCGATATGGCTAGTTCGTTTATTCTGCAGTCCAGAGTGTTTGCCATTCGTGGTGATAGTTTTGGTGCATTCCAGGCTCTCAAAGATTGCCTTTCCTTGTTAGGATCCCCTATACCTCCGACAACATGGGAAGCGTGCGACACCGAATTTCAACAAATATATGGCAAGCTTCAGAATATCGACAAAGAAGAGTTGCTTAAACGTCGGGCGTCGCCAGATGACCGCGTCTTGATGACAATTGGGCCTGTGTTCATCGAGCTTCTTAGTGCGGCGTTCTGGTCAAACAGTCTTTTGTTCTATCAATCGACGCTGAAGCTCATTTCAATACATCTCGAAAAGGGTACCATGTCACAGGTAGCCCTAGCTTATGTGCACCTGGGGACTGTTGCAGGCGGCCGCTTCAACATGATGCAGTTCGCTGTGGATACGGGTGCCATCGCGAAGCGTATCTTCCAGATGTTCCCCGATGACTATTACACGCTGGGTAGGGGCCAAACTTTGCAGCCAATGTTCCTGGGTCATTTGGAAGCGCCTGTGGGTGATCTGATACCGAGCTTGGAAGGAGCGCTCCAAGCGTCTCTTACCGCCGGTGATAGGATCCTTACGCTTCTGAACCTTGGAGTACAAGCCCACTTCAGGGTCATGGCATCACACGACGCCGCAGAACTAGAGGCCTGGATTGAGGAAACTCCACTGGATATGCGAAATTGGCAAAAAGACATGCGAGGAGGCGTTTTCCTCATGGCTGCTAGGCAATACGCAAAAGCGCTCCAGGGAAAGACTGACACAGGCAGCCCTTCGTTACTCCTCTCAGACCACGATCACAACGAGGCCGAGTACATCGATTTTCTCGAAAAAACGGCTAGCAATCCGAAGCGTCCAAAATCTATATATCTTGCTACCAAGCTTCCGTTGCTGGTGCTTTATGGTCACAATCGGGAAGCAGTTGCGCTTGGGGAGATGTTGCTTCCAATGCTGAGCAGTCTTTGGTCTGAAAGACTGAACTATTCGGTTAGGTACTACCTATCGCTAGCATACATGGTTCTTCTTCGAGACGAACCTGAGCACAGTCGGAGAGGCGAGATGATCCAACACGTTCAAGGTACCCTGAAGTTGCTTGAAGCATGTTGCACTGTAACTGATGCCAACTACCGGGGTTGGATACATCTTCTTACTGCCGTTCTTGCAGATATCAACGGCGATCCTCAGTCGACGTTGGAGAACTACGAAGCAGCCATGGACCATAACGAACGTTACGATTTCATCCTAGACGAAGCTTTCGCCCTGGAGCTATACACTGGATGGTTAGTGAATAAGAAGGCCTACAGGGCGGCTCGGCATGCGCTCAAGGACTGCCTTTCGACGTATCGAAGGATGTCCGCGTATGGAAAAGCAAATCACTTTGCCAGCCGCTATGAATGGCTAGTTCACAGTGTTCGATCATTTACGACAGCAGACCAAGCCGTACAGACCTCGGTCGTGGACACGGGTAACACAGCCTTCAGGCTTGAGCAGAACGACCACGACCATTTCCTGGGACCGGAAACCGCGGTCGATCGAACCCAAGATTGGATCGTACCGGAAACGCGGCGCCAGGAATCCGCCCCAGCTCTCCACAACGGGCTTTCGGCTGTGGGCCTTGACATGCTGGATCTATCGTCAATCCTGGAGTCGAGTCAAGTTCTTTCCAGCGAACTCGTTGTCGATAAACTGATGGCAAAGATGAGTTCAATTCTCCTCGAATCTACGGGCGGTACCTTGTGCGGCTTAGTGATTGAAGACTCGCAAATCGAGTGGTCGATTGCGTGTGTCGCTACCAACGAGCCTGACAACGACAGCGGGTTCTCTTCCGGCGTCACGTCCTTCCCTGCAAGTCAACCTTTGGATACTGTGGATGATGTTGTCGCTCGACAGGTGACACTATACACACTTCGCTTCCGGGAGACAGTCTTCGTCCAGAACTTATATGAAGACGATCGGTTTTCTAATGTCTCAGACGCCTATCTACAGCGCAATCCGGAGGGGAAAGCAGTCATATGCATCCCGATTCTCCATAGCGACCATTTGCTAGGCTCGATCTACGTTGAAGGCCCGCCGAATTCATTCACTGAACGCAACACCCAGGTTCTTCGATTGCTTGTGAACCAGATATCCATCTCCTTGGCCAACGCATTGCTCTTCAAGGAAGTGGAAAGAGTCTCTGCCAGTAACGAAGCAATGCTCGAAATGCAGAAACGTGCTTTGTCGCAGGCGCGAGCGGCGGAGATCAAGGCGAAAGAGGCCGAGGCCATCGCTGTGCGCAATATGAAGTTGAAAGAAGAGGCTGCAAAGGCAAAGAGCCTTTTCCTGGCTAATGTATCCCACGAGTTGCGCACCCCCTTGAACGGCGTGATCGGTATGTCTGAGCTGTTGAAGGCTTCACCACTCAACTCCGAACAGTCCGGATACGCCGATTCGATTCGTGTTTGCGCCGATACACTACTTTCCATCATCAACGACCTACTAGACTATTCCAAGCTCGAGGCCGGCAAGATGAATGTTTTGGAGATGCCGATATCACTGTCTGAGACGATTGCCGAGGTCGTACGCGCTCTTGCATACACGAACGCCGAGCGGGGTCTCAAGACCATTGAGCAGCTGCATTTGGATCCCGAGATGCTTGTTATGGGCGATCCTGTCCGACTGCACCAGGTTCTCATGAATCTGCTGTCTAACAGCTACAAGTTCACGCCACGGGGATCAGTCACTGTCCGCGCTGTTGTAGATCAAGAAACAGACGACTGGGTAGACGTGACATGCAGCGTCATAGACACCGGCATCGGTATCCCAGACGAGCAAAAGCAGAAGCTCTTCCTCCCTTTCTCGCAGATAGAGTCGAGCTCCGCAAGGAGCTATGGTGGCACTGGTCTGGGTCTCAGCATCTGCAAAGCTCTTATTGAAAATGTCATGCATGGTACCGTGCGTCTCGACAGTCAGCCAGGCCAGGGTACAACAGTCACCTTCTCGTTGCGGTTCAAGAAAGTACCGAAAGCGCAAGCAGGTAACCAACCGCAAAGAACGCGAGAGCCAGATCCCATGGCGAGATTCTCAAGCCAGGGTAACAACGGCCATGAGCAGTCATCGGGTACTTGCATCGATCTTTCAACCATACCTAGGCGAGACCTTCGAGTGTGCATTGCGGAAGACAATTTGATCAATCAGCGCATTGCAATCAGTTTCGTGCAAAAGCTTGGCTTCAAGTGCGACGCCTATCTCGACGGCTTCAAGACAATTGACGCGCTAGAACGCGCTTCAGAGAATGGTCGGCCCTTCCACTTGGTACTCATGGACGTACAAATGCCGCATTGTGACGGTTACGAAGGTAAAGCCAAGCCCTCATGCCTATCAGCATCCAGATTGCTGACATAACTGCAGCCACAAAACTTATCCGCAAGCATCCCAATCCCGAGATTCGCAATGTTCTTATCATTGCCATGACCGCTTCCGCTATTCAAGGAGATCGGGAGAAATGTTTGGACTCCGGTAAGCTTCTAACTAATTTAATCGTTGAGAAAGAGAAAAGTGCTAATTGTTGAATAGGAATGAACAATTATCTCGCTAAGCCGGTGCGCGCGCAGACACTCAAGGCATTGTTGGATTCATACCTGAACAAAAATAACGAGGTAGAAGAGATTCCTAATTTAGCGATCGAAGCGAAGAAGCTGGTCAAAGAGGCATTGAACGAGGCGGAAGCGCTGCCTGACGTCACAAGTGGGAACAGAGATTTGGAGAAACAGGAGGACCGCAACGGAAGCGCAAGTGTTGTGGGAGACACGAAGAATGGAATTACGGCAGCAGAGAAGGAGGGGAAGAAAATTGAACGGCCGAGCAGTGTGAGGATGAGCACTACACAGCACATATTACCTAACGGTAAGACAGAACCCGTGCCACCTTCCGAGTAGAGGTGCACTGATTTGAGGGATTGAGGAGTTGAGGGGGGCAGATGTCGTTGTTCATTTACGGATGACTTTCTTCCGCTCGCTTTGTCATCGGTGCATTGCATGGCGTTCGTTCTGCACTCACGGAAGAAGGTGTCAGGAAGGACGAAATGGCGTTTCTATTCCGTCGCAGTATCCTCGCAGATAGCGTCTCATCTGTGTCGAAGATAGAAATCTGAATGAATCCGTCTTCACTGTGATCATTGGTGTGTCGAGTCGTCTATTTGGCTACTGGTGACTATGACTATGCAGAATCCTACCACACAAAGTAATCATACGCCAGGATGTCACTCCGCGCATCCTGTATAACTCACAGTCAAGATGCCGACATCCTTGACGCGTAAGCCCGCCCGCATCACCTACCTCACGGCGCCATTGCACTCGCCGGAAGGTCGGCAAAACGTGGACTGGGCGCCAGACTCATCCCTCTCCACGCCGCGAGCGTGTCGCCAGCCCCACTTTTATTACCGCCGACGCAGCAAAATACCGCAGCCCCTGGGTTTCTTCATGAGCCACAGTGGCTCAACAAAGCAGTGGCTCACGGTGGCACAGTCGCCAATCAGTCGATCTTGGAGTCAAAGTTCCGTAACACGACTTTAACATTGCACGGCGGGATGGTGATGAATTAATCTCACGAGTAGATCTGCATGTCAGAAAGGGCTTGCGTCACCCCTCTCTGCCCCCTCGGCTAACGGCATGTGCGTCAACTGGGCTGCTGGGTTAGCCGGCTTTCGTTGTTGGCAGAGGGTTGAGTTTCTGGTTTCTTTCTTACTTGGTTCTCCTCCTAGGTCTCTCCCATGATTCACTTCCTCTCACAATACACTTTTCACGCTGTACTAGGGTCTAGTTACCTATCAGAATCACGATATTGATCTTACTTTGTACCACTCCTGATACCAACTAATCACTACTTTGAACACAAAAGTCCAAGCTGAGCTACATAATGGACGACACCATGTCCCAACGACAGTCTCTAGAACACAAACGGCACCATCACTTTGGCCGCCACCGCAGCGGGAGCTACCTCTCCAGACGCTCCTCCTCCTACTCTGCTACACTCGACACACCACCATCCAACGCACCACCCCGCATCTTCGAAGGCACAGACGCCGTTCACCAGAACCGCAAAGTCGCACTCCAACGCGTCATAGACACCCACCATGCCCTTGAACTTAAACATGGTGATGCCGCACAAACACCAACGAGCACCACTAGCGACCGCCCCACATCATCTTCCTCTTCCATGTCCTCGGACCCTTTTACTATAGACTTTGCCGACATGTCGTTCCCGGACGCCGAAGTCCGCGCTTTTCGCTATTTGCAAAGGAGGTGGGATGCCAACACGTACAGCACGCCCGACCCGGAATTTGCAACTGCGATTGCAGGGCGAAAAGAAAAGTTTGAGGAGACGGCGATCAAGCATTTCTTCAGCCGTGTCGCGCTGTGGGATGCAAGTGCAGAGGAGAAACAAGAAGCGGGTATGACGCGCAGTGTCTTCTTCTTCCGCAACAGGCGGCGGAGGAGGTCGAGGGCAAAGAGCGATGTTAGTCGCATGCTGGGCATACCGGAGAGGGATGACAAGGACAAGGAGGACGAGGCGTTGGAGGCGTTGAAGGAGGTTACTACGAGGGAGGGGCTCGCGCAGTTACTTTGGACGTTGGTGCATACTGATGAGGAGTTGGCGGGATTGAGAGAGGAGTGTATGGGCGCGTTGAAGGAGATGTATCGGGTGACTGTTACGGGGGTGGGGGGTGACGGGTCTTGAGATGGGGATGGGGATGGTTCGGCTTAGGGATATCTATCGTCTTCTGGGCATTTTGAACTTGTTTTTAGAATTGGAGCCTACATTTCATGTTTTTAGTGAATGCATAGAAAAGTTCGCTGTAATAAGGTTGTAGCTTGGACTGAGAATTGAAGCGTACATCATTGTCTGTATTTCCGGGCTGTTGGTGTGAGTCGCTCAAGTACTTTCTGGACACACTTTCAACTTTAGCCTACTAACACAGGTTACTGCGTACATGTTTACAAACTAACCACGGATCTCGGGGCAAGGGGATGGTGCTAGGTGGTGATTCGATGTATGCATCGTGATTCGAGTGTTGAAGAAGCAAATCCAAGGTGCATCGGAAGAGTCATCGTGAACCAGAAAGATACCATAATATGATGCTCGTGGGTACACTAAAGGACGATCTCGGTATGGATCATGGCCCTCGAATGCGATGCGTTGGCACAGTGTGTAGTGACAACAGCGATGGACTCGCGCCAATATCCCAGCAGACCTCCGCACAGATGACATCACAGTCCCTGTCCGACACGTTAGTTCCGCTTCCGATCGGAACCAATTCCATCGTGCATCTGAAGCTCGGGTGAAACACACTTACAAACACAACTACGTTCCACCCATCATGCCTTTCCTCGAACTCGGATACAAACGCCTCCACTACTCAGATCTGAAACCGCAAGATGGAAATGCTCGCGAGACATTCATCTTCATGCACGGGCTGGGCTCTTCGCAGAATTACTACTCTGCGGTAACTCAGAGCCTGGTTGCAAACGGATTCCGTTGCATCACCTTTGACAATACGGGAGCAGGACGATCAACATACACGTTTGTCGAGCAGAGTATTGAGACTCTGGCAGAAGATACTATAGGGGTTTTGGACGTGTTGAAAGTCGAGAAAGCTGTGTTCGTCGGACACAGTATGGGAGGGTACGTCAGCATTAACAACCTATCCGGGCAGAAGCCTTGGAAGACTCGACGCGACGATACCAAGACAACTAACGGGCTTGTAGTATCGTAGGCGCACACCTCGCGGCTGAGCGAAGCGACCGCATCGTAGCAGCTGTGTTGATCGGCCCAGTCTATCCAAACCCAGCCTCAGGCCCTCGCTTCCAAGAACGGATAGAAAACGTGACAAAAAACGGTATGCAACCCATGGCCGACACCATCCCCCAAGCTGCAGTCGGAAAGAAGGCGTCTCCACTTGTCAAAGCAATGATCCGCGAGTTGCTGCTGGCACAGGATCCAGCGGGATATATATCCAACTGCCGAGTCATTGTCAATGCAAAGCCGCCCAGGTACAGCAAGATCAGCGTGCCTGTACTTATTCTCGCTGGTGACGAGGATATGAGTGCGCCGCTCGAAGGGTGTAAGAAGATGTTTGACGAGATGCAGCATGGTGAGAAGAAGTTGGAGGTCATGAAGGGAATTGGGCATTGGCACTGTCTTGAAGCGTTTGACGAGGTCGCGAAATTGATAGAGGGATTTTATCATGAGATACAGTAGATTATCCGTAATGGTTATTTCCGATAAACCGCGGAACGGGGTAGTGGAGAAAGGTTCTGTATCCGTTCCATCGCACAGGCCCCGTTACAGTACCTGCGAACGAGTCAACAGGAGCAGAACACCTGCCATGTCATACCGCCATTTCTGAAATGTTTCGCGGGTGTGCGCAATGTGAACTGTGGGGGAGTGAAGAGGGGTTCATAGAGACACCACGTGCGAGCCGATCTTCTAGACGGCAACCCTAGCGATGGCTAGCGTGGCGGAAGCAAAAGCTGCAGGCTGCAGATGCAGAATCATCTCCGCGTGCGAGTAGAGCGCAGTTGGTGGTGTTGTGCCGCCGCATGACATGGTCATTGGCGGCGTCCCTGGCCCGATCAGCTGCATTGGATGCGGCCTTGGCGCATGCCGCATGAGTTCCACCCTCCAAAGCGTTTGCAGCGGATACATTGTGTAAGCAGTAAGGCAGCGGGCCGAGCATCCACAAGACATTACAACAAACGCACTCACACAGCCGCTTGATTCGTGTACAGTGAGGCAAGAAAAGCTGCTGGAAGATATTTCGGGCTGGCCACCCAGGGTTCTGCGCCTATACCCGCCGCAGCGGGTTTGTGTAATGTGCCCTGCCGACGACGCGCCCCTCTCAGCAATACCCACGATGTCATGCGCGGCGCTTCATTTGGCATCCTTCTCCTCCAGGCTCGACGTTTCCGCGTGCACTTGCCCGAGTCGAGTGTGTGTGATCTTGGCCCGATGTCGCTGGCCTGCCGTTCTTTGATTTGATTCGGTCCTTCCCGCCGTCCGTGCAGCAGGTCCAAGGTTGTGCCGGATCGTCTTGTTGTTAGACGAGGCTGCCACTCGCGTCTATTCGACATGGCTTCGCGCCCTCCTTGCCTTATCACGAGCCAACACAATGATCAGCACGCTAGATTGTGCGTGTGGCAGCCACATCGTCTCTGGCATGTGAAAGCCAACGACATCATAGTCTGCACACACACTCTTTCTGTCTTTGATTCGCCTTTGGCACCTCCCCATGTGTGCGACTCTTGCTGTGACATATTTAGTGCACCTGTCATGCTCCGTCTCGAACGCACGGAAGCTAACCAAGTCGTTCTCCAGTTTAATCGCACCACTAGTCTTTTCACGCTCCTAGCCCACTGCAGGCCCCGGAAATCGAATCCTGGGAGGCGGTGAACTCTCAACCTTTTTTGCGTAGAGCCGCCCACGCGCTTGGCTCAGACTTCGTCGAAGATCGTGCATGCCGTGCGTCTTGCATGGCTGGCAGGGTCTGGGCCAACCAACGGCCAAGATCGACAATTGGGTCGTTTTGAATCTCTTCTTTATATACTAGTCCCTAGTTTCCCTCCTACTGACCGCGGTCGATTCAATAGTCCTCCAGGCGGGTCCCGCGGTTCGTCACTTGACTGACCCAACAACCACTGGCGTCGCATAGCCTGCCTGTGATTCCAGTTTCCGTTCTCCCATATCTCTGGCGTGTGTGCTCCTCGCGAGGAATCCAGATCCGTGAATTTCGGTGTGTTGGCACTGGCTGCTGGTATGGGCTTTTACCCCTTGAGCACAGAACCTTCCTATTTGGATACTGATATCCGATCTAGACGACTACCGAAATTATACACGAACTAAGGCCATATTAACGATTCAATTTTCCTAGAGACAACGATCTCACATCTACGTCACTGTCCTTTTTTCGATCTTTGATAGATCGGCGATGAATCGAACAGACAGTGTTGCGGGTTCCTATCTACCCAAGATACCCAGCCAGGAACCGCTACCAGATCCTACCACCATACGGCACCGCAACAAACCTCACAGAAGCAACGCCCAATCCTTCTCTTCCACTCAGGCTGCGAATATGGAACCGCGGCGACCAGTATCAGAGCAGCGCTCACGACCATTCCACCGGCAACAATCAACCACCTCATCATCAGAAAACTCCAAGAGTCGATCACAGAGCCGTGGCCATGGCTCAAAACCCTCATCGAGGCGAACTTCTTGTACCATTGTGGATCCATCAAGACCGGCGCGTCACTATCGAATGAAGAGCCACCAAACACCTCCCACAGCAACCAGCCAAGACATTGACGACGTCCTCGCCCTACATTTTCGCAGCTGCAGCATCTTCACCAACCCATCCTACCACTCGAATTCCGGTCTACCCAGCCCAACGCTATCCCAAGGTGGCGACGCAACCTTTGGCTTCCCCAGCGCAGCCACGCGTTTCAGTTCCGACAGTCTGCGCGTCGTCGAAGAGACACCCATGCACCGCCGCCAAAGCGAGGACACCATTGCAGAAGAAGAGACCAACACGACTATGCACTGGACCTCGCCATGTACGCGCAAACGCGAGTATGAAAGGATCGACAAGGCCAACAGCGGTCTTCGGGGTTTCTTCCGCAAGGTAACACCGCGATGTGTTTCAGGTCCGCAGGAAAAGTTTTACTCAGACAAGGACCAGTCGGATGCTGGATCTGTGCGACGTTATCGCATGGAGGATCTGGATGACGATGCGCATGTGGATGAGAAGCATGATGCGAGACCCAGGACGAGTCCGATGCCTAGACCAGGGTCGAGACCGGGGATTGCGAAGAGGTGGACGTGTTTCTAGATGAGACGGAGAAGACACACAGAGAGAGAGAGAGAGAGAGAGAGAGAGAGAGAGAGAGAGAGAGAGAGAGAGAGAGCATATTACGCAGCGATGATTTTGGCATATTTTCCGCGGCATTGAAAAGAGGCGTTTGCTATAACGATACCCACGGCATGTTTTCTTGTTTTGCAGGTCTGTTATCGAGGAGAGGAGAATTTGCATTATACCAACCGATACGTCCATAGAGTAGAAGTTCGTCCTTAATTTATAGTTTATTGCATCGATCAAAGAATCCGCGCCGATTTAGTGAATTGGATGTTTTACCTGTGATTCGCAAAGTGCCATGAGTTTAGTACTTGTTTAAAGAACGAATATTCGACACGGAGACATGCTATGAATATGGTGCAATGGATGTGAATTAAGTAATCTGCGTTGATATAATGTTATGTAGTATTTATAACTTGGACTCCTCCTTAACTGTGCCGATCTTGAGTTTGGGTGCGTATTTCTTCAATACGCTCTCATTGTGGTACTGCATATCCGTTAGCGAATCCTTTCGTCACGTTTGATAACGATTCTTGATCTGATATAATCAAGGGTCCAGCTTGCGACCGAGTCCTTGGTAGCGAGAACCTTGGATGTCCGGCGGTACTGAGACCCAGGCGCGCCACAGAAGCAAGCCTTGCGGGGGGACGCGCGCGCGACATGTGTTCCCACTGTTCACTCCCCTCCCTGTACATCCTAGTCAAAACGTACCTTCCAGAACTGCTTACTAGCATCCTTTCCACCCACTCTCTTCAGAATCTTGGCGCCACCTGGGTGCTCGTCGACAAACGAATCCATCTTGTATACATCGCCATCGACTATTATGTACAGTCCCTTCTCAACGGTGTTGTGCTCGGCGACTTGCTTGGTGGTGAGAGACTCGGACACGGTGAGTTTCGTGGATGCGCAACGGCGACTGAGGTTTATCGGCGTTTGAAAAGGCGGGAAGAATGTCGCGTCGGCGATCGCGTCGAGTCTAGGCGGACGATTTGTTGTGTTCGGAAGGCGGAAGAGCTGGTTGGCTCTGGGTATAAAAGTAAAGGAAACACGGAAGGGGAGGAACCTGGGGTTGTATGGGGTACGGTCCAGGGAAGTAGCTCGGGTTGCGGCTCGGTCGTGGATGGCGAGGAGTGTGGAGTGGAGGTATGCCGAGGTTGATGAGGCGCGCTAGGCCTGCGTGTGGTAAGCTGCGTTGCGGGGATCGTGATTGGTGTGCTGGAACGTCACTTTCTCTTGGTGAAATACTTCCCAGCATCCTTGGACTGTCTTTTACTTCTACTGGGACTTCGCAGCGCCCAGTGTTCATGGCTTTCGCAGAGTTCGTCGCCAGAATTCACATCAGTAGTTGACGCAGTGTGCGTTGTTAGCTTTCCTTCGCACATGCTACGCACCTTCAAAGTAGTCGTTATTCTCTGTGGAATCGTTTCTCTGTAAAAACATCTGTTGTCGTCTCATCTCATACCAGGAACCTAGTCAGGTTATCCGTCTCGTATCTACGACCTCAACACTGTTCGTTTGCCGATGACTTGCTGAGCTCAGTCATTCGGCTCCTTCCATCACTTACCAGCCAACATTGATAAGGTACAGCAGATCATTGGGGCCTTTTGTCACTCCTTTCACTTTCTTTCCTACATCTAGATTGATCTCTGGGTCAGTGCGACCGCTCTTGAAAATTGTGGCCCAAGCGCGGCTGCGTCCAAAACTGGTCCTGGTCTGGTTCATCTGCTTCGACACCTCGACTCACTTCCTCAACCGCCTTATATCTTAACAGTATTTCTTCGACAACTCGACATCTGTACATCATCTTACTTCTAAATCACTTCGTCGGTTCTGTGCTGACAAAACGTTCAACGCCTATATCGACAATATAAGACGGAGTCTCGCCTTCTGCAACTGCCAGGCGAGCTTCGTAACAAAATCTTCGAATACGCTCTCACAATCGACGATGGAATCTGTTATCGCGAGGACAAGATCGGTGTGGGCTGGCTTTGTCTTCATCCTCAACAAACGGAACAAGATATCGAGGAACATGCTCAAACTCCAGCTGCGGTTGCCAGCAGTGGAGAGCTCGAGGACGAGGCTCCGGCGCGGAAGCGTCGTAAGCCTACAGAAACTGTTCGGTTCATCAAAAATTCTGTTGTCGCTACCAAAAAGACGAATCGCCTAGCGCAGGTCACAGTGAACGGACATCTCGTCGCCGACCAACTGCAGTTCGTCAACCATCAACCTCGAAGCGAGACTAGGGCATTGGTTATTCGCTACAACGATATCTACATCCTCGACGAACATCGCCATCTCATGGAATTCTTCTATAGTGTCGTCGGCCATAAGAGAGGATGGATTCAGAGGATCGTTAGGCGGGTGCAGTCGGAGACGAAATTGAAAAGGCCCATCAAGGTCAAGTCTCACGAGGCATTGCATTCCCGATTTGTAATCCATGAGTACCTCCCAGAGGTGAGCCTAGATGGGAATGCATTCTTCATGGTTGCAGGAGTCATACAGGAGTTCGGTCGCCAAAATCACTCGTTTTTGAGCCGACTAACCCAAAACGTCATCTATCAACAACTCGTGCGCAGTTCATCGAATAGGTTTGTCAAGCTATCTTCCTATGCCAAGGTATTTCCCTGGGATAAAAAGTTCGACGAGGCTGCTATTCGACGTTATTGCGAGACGAACGACTTTGTACAAAATATTCTACTCCCAACTGCGCCAAACGGCATTGAAGGTCTAGTAGCTATAGCCAAAGAGTGGATCGAGAATGGGTATTAGGTCTTCAGACGAGCGCATCATGTTCCGGCGAGCTATGATCTGATGTGGAAGGTAGCGCAGTGTGTGGAATGCTCTGGGTCTGGTAGCAGACAAGAGGAGATAAGACTGCTTCTTCGAGTATGCTATGTACAGAATACTAAATCTGGGCCAATATGTACATTTGGTCTGACCACACACCACACAACGTGAGCTACATCTATGCTGCAGGACTAGCAACTGAAGTAGTGAGTGAACCGCTCTCAATGTACGTCCCGGAGAAGAACCAGTCCTCCGCACCTGTCCCATCGTTACCCTGGCGGGGAAGACGAAGAACACCAAGATGCCAGTCGGCGCCGTTTGAAGAAGTGCTACTGGAGAACGGTCCAGCAGTCTTAACGAGCGTGTTGTTACCAGTCGAGTGCCAAAAGGTAACTTGGTTGGACGAAAAGTTGATCTCGTAAGCTACGTTGTGCCATTCGTCGGCCTTGAGCTCGACCTTCCACTTGCTCTGGCCACCCACCATCCACTGCCTATTTTGGAATTAGCATGGTTTTCGTACTGGGCTTCGTCGCGTGGTTGTCTTACAGGTTGGTGTTGCTGGTGCCAGACTCTCCGTTGACCCATCCGTACTTCAACTCTGTGAAATGGCTCTCGAAGAAACAGATCTGGTGTTCGTTTGTCGCACTCGGAACATTGGTAGTGGATCTCTTGATCGAGAAATGGTAATATACAGTGCCTTTGTTGATAGCAGCTTTGGTCTGAGGAATGAGCTCCGTCCTCCACATGTCGCTGTTCCACTTGGCTGTGTTGTCGATCGTGATCTTGGCACCTTGCTTGCTGCCAGTGTCCCCAGGATTCTTGTAGTTTGGCGAGAGGTTTACGTATTTGGTGGTAGCGCCCGATCCATGGATGTAGTATTGGTAATCTGGACGAGGAAGAGGCTTTATCAGTGATGTTTGACGTGTAGCCTGAACGTAGTACTCACTGCCTACTTGGTTTGCCCATGACCATTTGTCCAGATCAGAAGAAGACGTCATCTCGTTGAAGCGGCCATCCCAAAGGATCGTGCCTGTCTCTGGTCAGCGACATGTAACATGCGTGGACGAAGCCAACGAACCCGCGGACACGGCGCTCAGGAGCGCATTGACAATAGCTGCCTTTCCAAACATGTTGGTAACTGGGAGCAAAAGAATCGCTGCGTATGGATACGATGAAGATTGATGGTTGAGGCGTTGAAAGTTGAGGCATTCAAGACGCTATATAAAGATCATCCCTAGTAAATGCTCAGAGTACCTCGACCCGAAGATGGAGGCAAGATGTCCGTTTCATGGTTAAGCGCTGCACATCAATATCCGGGAAACAACGTAGGGCTCGCACTTTACTTTGAAAACATACTGAACGTGGACTGCGTGACCACACATCTCAATTAATCTAATTGCACCCGCCGGTATCACATATAGCTGTGGATCTAGTGGCGGCCAACCGGTCCGGCACACATTGCGCCTTGTCTCACCGCGACGCGGGAAATGGCAACCCGGTTCTCGTCACTACGACAGCGGCACATGGTTCGATGCCGGAGATCGAAGGCTTCGTAGAAATGAAGGGACGGCGGGTTTCTTGGTGGAGGAAAGACGATCTCGCAGGGGGTCGAAATTAAGCTACATTAAGCCGAGGCCTACCCCACAATTAGCGCAGGCTTGAAAGCTTAGGACAGCGGTCCTACCAGCTCGTCCTGTGGCAGAAGCTGGACAATAGTTGCTGGATGCGAATGGTTCACAAAGAGGCAGAAACAAGTGCGTTAAGGAAAGGCGTTGACTGCGGCGCGCAATTGCCGATCGTATGCTTCCTCCGTGCCGCCAGGAAACAGGCAGTTACCCGTACGCCAGCCCCTACAACATCTTTCGCTACAAGAAGCCTCGCGATCCTAAGTTTATTGTCTACCACGAATGCACACAACACGCTTCATGCCCCTGTTGTAAGCAAGACCCGAAGGAAATCCCTTTCTTTACGACGCCCGAACACTTTGTCTTCTCTGCCTCATTGCCTAGGTAACATTGCCACGCAGTCGTTCCAGCGTAGCTTGTACCATGAACCTAGACACAAAGTCACAGAAACTGTGGGGCAGTGAATTTGACGTATTCGAATCGCCAGCTGATATAAAAAATATGATATTTCCGTATGTTCCAAAACTCTCCGGACCGAAACAGTGGCATAGGACGATGAGTGTAGAAAGCACATTACAAAGGATGAACAGTAACATCTATGGATAATACTCATGTAACGCTAGCCCATTTGTCGCTAGTACACACTTAGTTCATGCTAGCCCCCTTTTCTGTCAACTGCGCCGCAAAATGGTCAGAACACCCCACACGGTATAGTAACGCGCTTGAGGAACGAGGTGACAAGAGACATCACTCTCGACCGCAGAATGAATACTTTATCTTATTGTCATCGTTTCACCGCTGATCATGAACGTCGATCGATGCATCGCGCTCCACAATGAGATTTTGCGCCACGGCTGGGTTGGCTCAGGTCGCAGCGTAGAGTCTCTCGAATCTTCCTGTCAGACTTGGTTTGATACATTCAGCGATGCAGCTGAGGCCGTTCGTGCTGACCTTTCGCCTGATCTTGTTCAGTTTCTTCAACATGCTCGAGTCATCTGTGATCCAGAGGCGAAAGTTGACCTGTTTTTCTTCTATTGGGTGCAAAATCTTGCTGATCCAGGGTTCGTGTTTGAGCAGGAAGACGATTGGCCAGAAGAGGGCAGGTTCTTGGTACTTTACGCTATGAGCAACTTTACGGGTCACTTCTGTGGGCTAGTGTAAGTTCTACGAGACCACTATATATTCTTGATACACAACGAGCTTACACGTCGCTATAGATATGACCAGGAAACACACCTGTGCATAATCAGTCCGACTATCTACGACACAGACATAATCTTTGAACAGGAAGTTTGGTATCCGTTGGAAACTGCGTTGGAGTTTTGGTTGAGCCAAATTCGCAAGGGAAGAATTGCTACTCCGCCAAAAGTCCCGCATAAGAATTACGTCTACGAGCGCTTCGATCCCTGGGAGTTTATCCCATATAACGACACAATGCTGGAGGAGAACATCGACGCTTTCAATCGCCTTGTAGAGTCCATCGAAGCCCGCATGCCTCCAACGGCCTCCACCACAGAAGTTGCAGAGGCTGTACATGGACTAGTCGACAGCAGCGTACTTCAAGCTACAGAACTTCCCCAAAGATTCGCTTACGAATTTTTCCGTCGTACACGACGTCCACGCTTCCAAATGATCGCTCCCGGTCTCGAAGTGCTCACTGACTCTGCATTGTTTGACCAGGTAGGTTGTGACTGTGCCGAATGTATGTGACAAATACACTGACTTCGTGCCTTCACGTCTGCAGCCGTTCCACTCTTATATTTCTTCTTCTACTTCTGAAATTCCTCCCATCCTGCTTTTCCGCTCCAAGTCAGATTATACTGACGAGACAACGCTCAATACTCACACCGGTGAGCGCATAGCCCAGCTCTTTCCATTATTCAGCGACACCACAACATATCCCGCAGGCCTGTACTTGCGTCCGACTTCTGCGATAAAATCCGAGGATGAGTGTTTGTTTATTTTGCCCTTTGGTATTGGGGCGAACGGGTATGCAAGGAAGAGTGATGGCAGCAGGTTTGGACGACGTAAGACTGGAGGAGATAGTCACGTGGATTTATATCGTCCAGGTCATCAGCCGCTCGAGAAACATCACGAGCAGAGTCTTGTCAACGTGCTGAAGAATTGGAGGGGTATGGTAGAGAGGGGCGAGTGGCAGATTGATGAGAATGGGGTTGCAGGCGGAATGGATGTATGGAGAGAGGCAGATAGCGAAGAGAAGTGGGAGGCATATGTGATACCGAGGGCTGTGGAGGGAGTAGAGGGGTAGATGAATGAACAAAGAGTTGATTAGATCTTGGGCCAGTATGGAAAGCTGCAGTGCGAAAGTGGGTGACGGAGGGCCTACGAGTGGTGGAGGAGATGGTGAATTGCGCTAACCGCATGTGACGATAGTCTTGGCAGTCGCGCGGTCCTCAACGCGCCTGCGCCAAAGATTCCAGACATCAACCCCAGCTTTCCGCGCCCGCTACATCACGACCCAAAGCGCATCGATCGACGCGGCGCCTCTGTCGCATTACCCCAGCAATCATGTATGGCATGAATCAGGCCTACGGGCATGCTCCCGACCCGAGTGCGCAGGTGCCGAATCATCTGCTTGCCCATGTGCACCTGATATCCTCGTACCGCTTCCCTACCCTACCAGGTCTTCAAGCTCCCCAGGCCCTCGAGTACCTGATCAAAGGCCCGCAAATCGTGCGCGACACGTCGCCCGTCGCGTGGACCTTCCTTTCAGCACCTCCCCAAGATGGCACTGTCATCCTCACATGGCAGCCCCCGCGCATGGGCACCATGTTCGCCTCAGACGGAATGGTGTGGGCTGACGCCGAAACTGCATACGATATGAACGTACGCGGATATGTACGTATCTAGAGGACACGATGCCCGCTTCAATGACCTAACATATCATAGACTCTCCAGGTCCTTGTGCACAACAGTGGATACCACTACCCTCACGAACCATACGCCATGCATGCGCGCCATCGTTATCGAATTGCTGCAGGCCCGGGTACTATCGATCCCAATCTCTGGCTTGTGCACTACAAGCCGGCAGATCCACAGAGCAGAATGCCTGCCTCGCAGATACCCATTCCACGAGAAGTCCAGGCCCAGATACAGATGCGCGCTCAACTACAGCAAGCCGGGCCATTGATGCGCAAGGAGTTCATGTTGGTCGATCAAGCCAATTGGCCAAAGGTCGAATTCGGACAACAAGCCATGAGAGGCCCGCAGCCCTACTACAACCCCATGCAACCAGGCCGACCATATCCTGCGCAACCGCCGCCAGCCAAACGCCAGCGCTTGCCGACTCAGCCTCAACCTCGCCAACCCGCTGCAGGTACACTAGCACCAGACAACACACTCGAGGAAGAAGAGAATGCGACACAAGATGCCTTCGACTTCCTGACCCCGCGCGAGATTAGCTTGTCGCGTTACAAGCAGCATCACGAGTGGATGGAAGAGATCTTCTCGTCACCTTATGCCGTCGGGAAGATTGCACCTATCGATCTAGGACTGGGCCTCATGGGCGAGCTCGCCCCGCTTACTGCAGGCATTCTCGATGTTCCAGGAGCTGAGAACGTGGAGCCGGGCAAAGAGAACTACCAGGTCAAGAACTACTACAAGCTGGATGCGGAACAACTCAAGGACTTTGAGAAGCGTGTATCAGAGTATACAAAGAACGAGCAGGCCGAGATTGACAAGATGAAGGCCGACCACGCGAAGAAAGTGGCACAATTGAAGCGCACCAGAACGTACATCAAGGCCGAACGACGACTACGAGATCTTTCCCGCTCTACCGAGAGCGACGGCGAGGACGCAAACCCAGTCGAAGGAGTCGTGCAAGATTTGGAGAAGACGCTTGGAGTTACATTCGACGCGAAAAAGGCGGTCGTCTGTGTAGACAAGGGTGGATTCATTGAGCCGCAAGCACCCTCTCCTCCAAAGGCACAGATGAACGGCAACGGAGCCCAACAGGAAGCAAACGGAACATCGAATGGCATGAACAACCAAGGAACAATGGAGGAGAACTCTGCCGCGGGTCTGTTGGACCAGTATGGATCGGGGTCACTGAACGGCACACCCATCGGCAATATGTCATTACCTAGGTTATCACAGCCACCGAGTCAATCGCAGTCTGCCACCGGTACACCCAATGCGCCTCACGGCAACATGAACCAGACATCCACATTCGATCAGCAGGACACAAGTCTCGACGTAGGAGCCGACCTCCTAGATCTGGACGTAGAGATGTCTGGAATGACCGGCTCAGGGGAGAAGACTGATGATTGGACGATGAACGATCAATCTGGCAATGCACAACAGTCGACCGGCAGCGTTCAACAGCCCAACATGAACAACAACAACCAGCGCACAAACAACGTCGGCGGCATGTCCTCGTCCAACATCGAAGCCGACGCAGGTAGCATGTTCGACACAGCCGACTTTGGCAGTTTTGACAATATCGATAGTGCTGGAGACGCTTTGGCGGATTATGGGCACGATGACAACTTGGGCCTGGATCTTGTTGACGATTCGGCTTTTGGCGATGCATTCCATGCGACGGAAATGCATCATGATGAGGCTGGAGAAGGGGACCAGAATGCGTAGTATGCAGGTTTGGACCTGGATCTAGATGGCCTGGATTTGGATTGATTTGTCTCACGCTCCAAAGTGTTGGAATTTCTCATTCTTGGGGTGGGAAGGAGGGGGGGCTGTACTATTACGGTGTCGTTGTTTTCTTTTTTGTATGACTGGGAGTCGAGGGCGTTACCATGTCAATGGTTTACGACGAGTATCTACCTTTTTTATCATCGTAAACTTACGTGTTCAGAGAGACTCTGTCTCTTGCAGTTTTTTTTTCAATTAGATTGTGGCGTCTGCCATGTTCGAATTTGAATAGGAAGGTGTTGCAACTATGGCCGATTACTCAACGGTCGAGATTGTGGAAAAGTGTGTTGCAATATTGTAATGTTCACGTCACGACTAGCATGGTGTATACCTTGTTTCTCTTGATATTCGTGCTCAGCTGTCCAACACAAGATCCGCTACTTCAATGAGAGAATTGCACCCTCTTCTGCAGTCGATATGCCGTGGGGTTTTGATCAGGAGAGCTCCCTTGCGTCGAAGTCATTCCTAGTGTGAATGAGTGTATACGACTTGAATATCGCCTCATTCAGCAGAGGTAGCTCACCTTAGTAAAGACCTCGCCGTCTGTGGGTGTCTACTATGCTGTTGATTTTGGACAAAGTCAAAAATAAAAACCGCTGTCACGCCATCATCATTAGATCCTCGAGAGCTCATCATAAGCTGTTGTCTGGCTCATTGGTTACTGCGGTTAGAGAGTCACGTCAATTCCTGAGTAATGTTTACAACATCACCTCTTCCGCATGCCGATGTAGACACGCGTAAGTATTGGCTAGGTTTTGTCTATAATGCTGAGAGACGTTGACGTCAGCAGCTATATCCTCCCATAGCAACATGGTAGGCGACCTTCGAAACTCAGCTTCTATCCACGATTACACTGTCTTCGGCTCCATATGTCCAGAGTTTCCCGGCTTCTCCACAAAAGACACTTTGGTCTGCGGGATGATGCGCTATATGGCGGTAATGTAACGTCGCGATTCTCTTGGGAGACTATCCCTACAAGTGTGTACATTGTTCGTCCTCGGAGTGGCGATGTTCAGTGCCGATACGCTGCTCGTGTTCACGTGCAACATGTTCGTCTTCTTGAGCGGGAGCATGAAGATTCACGATGGATCTCTAGACGCTCGAGAGTGCGTGTCCGTTTCGGAATTTGTGTGATACTCGGGTTTCCAGAACGCCATTGGTAAGAAAAAGGGAGATGGAAAAGACAACCAAGATACAGACAATTCACGTGGCAGCATTGATGGTAGCGCTAGAAGACCGGATGCGAATGGGGAACTGCGCAGTATGGATGAGACTATTGTGGGAGCGTATCTGCAGGAGTTACATTAGTTGCTCGTTGATGTAAGGCTCTCCATTCCTCAGGGATCGCAACCATGCATCACGGCCTCTGCTAACCGGATTGTACCAGGCCAACGACAATGTTATTACTCCTGAGAACGCTCCGGGTTTCTCGATTGAGGCATCATGCGCGAAGATAACGCCAGCGACTGCGAGCACGCTACCTAAAATCCTCAATAGTGGGTTTGAGCAGCTGCCGCATGCTACGATGGGGCAAGGCGGGCGGAGTAAAATGACAATGGCGTTGAAGGCGTATCTCGAATCCTGAGTCAGGATTAGTAACCCTCGAGTTCGGACGAGGCGTGGTAGTGGAAATGTGTTCTTCCTGATTTGCGTAGGTTTTTTGGGAACGCTTGCCCAGATGGTTCTGCCGTTCTACCCCAGACGCGCAACGACACCATATGCAATCAAGCATTGGCGACGTTCCGTATGCCACGATGCACAAGACTTTTGTTACCGCCCATTTTGAAACGCCACTCTATCGCAAACTCATGATCTGGCAAATTACCATGCGTTTCGGCGACCCCTGACTTGGCTCAGGGGGCGCCGTCTCGGTTAAAGCGGCCCTCCACATCAGCGTACCAAGACCGCGAGACGTTCTTCCGCGTGCTTGATTCTACGAGGCGTAAGCTAGTGCGACGCCTACATGCGGCGATGAATCGTCTTTTCGGTATCGTGATCCGACTACACGGACCTTACGATTACGGGTATTCGTGATGCCCCGTATTGTGGTTCGTGACTATAGGTCGATGCTGATGATGTAGTTTAGAGAGAAGACTGGTTCCGAGGGACATTGAGATCCGCCAAGTCTAGCCGTAATGGCTGTGACACCACCCGAGGGGGTGGGGAATTTCAGTTTTAGGGAACCATGGTCAGGAGAGCGCTACGCGATGGAGTTGTGGTAAAGGCCAGAGGAGCAGCCTCGGAGTCTCTTAGCGCAGAATGCACCGTTTCTCTTGATGCTTCATCTGCCCGGGCACACGACATGAGCACCAACCTCGTAGCGGCTTAGGAGTGATCTGCTTGGTAGAGTCCTGCCATTACATTCAAGCATTTCCTGGGGTGTTTTGCCGCGCCCGCAAACCACTGAAGGCATGGGCAGGGAGAGTGCTAAAGTGACCTTCCCGATAGCCTCTCTTGGCATCATCCAAGCGTCCGCCATCTGCCCAGTGAGCCGCGTCTATCTGCAGGGCGCGCGTTCCTGAAAAGATGTAGCCCCCACCGGTAGGGCCAGGGTCGTCGAGCCCATGGACTAAGTGCGGGTTTACATTTACACTTGCCTTCTGTCCTTCTGCTCCCCTCTTTGCCGTTGTCGACCTTGGCCTTTTTGCTGCAGGCGATTCATCATTACGAGCGCCGTCTTTCTCTGCTTTCTTGGTACCCGTCTTTGTCGGAATTCGGCACCATCGGAATACGAAGCCACCTGGGCACTGCATCAGCAAGCCATTCCAAGCCACGGCGATGCGCCTGGCCACACAACATAGTTCTTAGATCCTCACATTCCTTGAATAGTAGACTTCTCTTTGGCTTTTTGCACACTCCTTCCATATTCGCACAATGCCTCCTCGCGACGCCAACTGGATAGATGTAAGTCGTACTCGCTGCCACAGCCACAACTGTGAGACTTGGGGCTGACAGTCTGTCCTACAGGGCCTCAGAGGTATCGCCTCCTTCATGGTGGTATGCGGTCACCTATGTACTGCCTTTGTACCATGGCTACACCAGCCCGCCCAAGATGCCAAAACCGCGCCGCACCTCTTCCAACTACCCTTCTTCCGTCTCGCCGTCGGAGGCCGTAGCGCCGTAGCCTTATTCTTCCTCGTAACCGGATACGTCAACTCAATTGGACCTATTGGCAAGTCGCGTCAGGGAAACCATGATGCGGCATTCCACGGCATTGCACGAAGTGCGCTGGCGCGCTCAGGAAGGCTGATTCTCCCCACCATGGCTGCGACAATCGTTACGTGGTTCATGGCGAATACGAACGCATACCATATGACCAAGCATGTCGATGCGCAGTGGATACGGCAGGGTTGGCACCGACAGGAGCCCACGTTGTGGATGGCCTTCAAGTCGCTCTTCAGGGCGCAAACCGAGACTTGGACAACTGGCTGGGACGAGTACGATGGCACACAATGGACACTGCATTTGTTCTTGGAGGGCGCGTTCTTGGTCTACACAACCATGCTTGCTACAATTCTGGTCCGACCAAAAGCACGTTTCATTGTGTACGGAGTCATGTACGCCTACTTCTGGCAAGTTGGCAAAGGTGTGTATATCCGGAACTGGTTGGGGAGCAGCGCAGTTGCTAACTACAGTAGACCTTACAGTTGGCTCCATCAAAGGCCTCAACATCGTCACAGGCATGTTCGTAGCCGAGTTACATAACCACTACAAGGACGCCGCCACTTCTGTCCTACCCGCACCCATCCCCGCACTTATGATAGTCTGTGGCATGTTCATGGCGGGATTCCCTCAAGATTCGGCCAACAACACACGCTGGTCGCACACAATGGCGACAATCATGCACAGTCTGACAGCCGACAAGACGGACATCCGACGATACTGGGACCACCTCGGCGCTGCCTTCGTCCTCCTCGGAATCTTCTTCTCGCGAAACGCCCGTAAACTCCTCACATCACCTGTTTTCAACTTCCTCGGTCGCGTCAGTTTCCCCGTGTACTTGCTGCACAACACATTCATCAAGTCTGTGCTTACCTGGATGATCTACCTGCCATCTGCAATGAACCCGCCCAGGAACGAAAAGGGAGAGCAACAGGACCTCCAGCGTGGATCGACGACACATATCCTCATTGCGATTGCGGTTTTCTACTACATCCTTTACCGGAGTGCAGCACTCTGGGTTAAGCATGTTGACCCAATATTCGCGACCATGGTCAACGCAGCCACAAAATGGGCATATGGCGAGCCCCAACAGAAGGAGAGTCGCCCGATACTAGGGAACGGGAACGCGACGACTGACAAGAGCGTCCTCCCTTCATAGAGCAGACACCCTGCTGCTCTTTCTTCACTTCATTCTTGTTGATCACTTTCGGAGCTGGAGTCGTCTCCTCCTATCACTATATCCGATGATTTTTTTTAGTTTCATATCATCTCATATGTTTCCAAATGCATCTTCCATATTGCATGTGCTGTGTTTTTTGAGCGAGCGACCATGGTATGCCAGCTTGGACGTTTTGGAGTATGCAGAGGACATGCTTGTCTTGTGAGAGGAATCTTTATTTTTTCGAAAAGGGTCAAGGAGTAAGACAAATACTTTGGTAGATTAAATGAACACATGAAATCTCATTTTTTGGACTCGATATGCCACTCGAGGGCTTCTTTTTGAGATGTTCGAGATCGCTTGGTATCCGCTACATGATGGTTCTGCCCTACGCTTTTGGAATCAGAACCACGTAGTATCCGCCTAATGTCGTTAATGTTGAGCTTCGTGAATGGAAAGAAACCCAAGTCTCCGCCGAACCATGTCCCGAATCTATAGCAACTTTGGTCCATAAAAGTATAATTCTGCGTTTTCTATCTTCTACATCATTGTGGAAGTGATTTGAGGAAGAAGAAAAGGGTCAGAGAGAAAGTTTATGTACACTTGGTAGTTGGCGCTAGTGCGTTTTTGTGTTGGTGCCGAAGGGGTTAGCTGGAGCGTGTCATGCTTCAACCCTTAGGAGACATACTTCGAGCGGAGAGGCATGGGGTTTGGCGACGACAAGGGGTGAAGGGGCGGTCATAGGTGTATCTGTGTTTTGACATACTAGATACACCACCATGTCTATTTCGCTGTCGCCTTGCTGATATTCTGTGAATACCTCCTGGGTACCTTATAAGAAGAAGGCATTACTCTAAGCGACTTCAAGCTGTATGCGGTAAATCGAAGTCACATCCAAGTTCTACAGGTCGAGTCATTGCGCTAAGAAGGTCTTCAAGTAGGCCAGATAAATGACCCATCGGCGCTTAAGTACCTGGAAAGCCATGTGTGGCGCGGTAACAGGACCATAGCACGGGGATGCGGCGTGGTAGTCGAACAGTATATATAGGCCATGTTAACTGTGCCTCTTCAGGGCGAGCAAAGACACGACCACAAAATAGACCAACAACAAGGTTTTGCCCTGGAGCAACTGTTTTGCGATGGGTCCAATAGAGTCAGAATAATGTCAAAGAGACACTGTCTGATTGAGGGCCTAAATGGGCTGTGCATCGCTTGGTCACCAATACCTTTTGCGCGATGAGGGAATTGATGCTCACCGGCGGACTGCAAAGAGATTTCACGCGACGATAGGGAATACGCGGGGTTTAACGATGGCTGCCGGCGATATAATGGCGCAGCCAAATACCTCACGAGCGATTCATTGACCGGTGCGGACCGGAGTATGAACGCACGCAATGCGAAGACAACATGCGCTGAGGACATACGCCGAGTACGCAGTACCGCCATGGCGCCTCGCTTGCAGGATACCTAGGTAGACAGCTGGGCGATTTACACAACGAAGCCGCACAAAAGACAGAAGGAACAGTCTGCGACTGTGCCGTGAAGAACAAATAGCCTCCACCAACTCCCGACTGCGATGCCTCACAAAGATTCCGTGCCGTCGCGCTTACACGTCGGAAATAACTCACATCGGAAAAGCACCAATTCACCAGCCTCGTTAAGGCCTCTCGAACCAACCCGTATTAGCCATATCCGCAGCCGAGCATTCGCCACAAAAATCCACCTACAGGGCTGAATCCTATCCCCGGAGACACGTTGCCCGATCCATGAGGCGCGTGATATTGCCGAGATGGCTGAATTGGTTGGCTTATCGAACGGCCAAATCGCTGACGTCGGACATCTTGGGCGTGCGCTCTGTATGGCCCGTTTACATATATCGAGTGTGCCTTGAGGGTGATTTGCACGTCACGAGTAGACTGGTAGGGTGTGCACTGGGCTTGGGTCCCGACTTAGCCGAGTGCGGGAGGCCTTGGACATGGTGTTGTGTGTGACGTGAGTTCTCGAACGATATCGCGCAACAAATTTCAGAAATGCGCGCTGCGAATGTATGCGATCAATGGAGGTGAAATCACCTGTCGCTCGATATAGAGAAACCTGGTAAGCCTTGTATCAGGTAATAATGGAATGCGCATTCCTTCCTGTCAGCAACACTGTCTTTCTCGTTGCTTGCGGTGGTGAGACCAGAAGCGTGGCACAGCCCCAAGAAGTGGCCAGACACTAGTGTACAGGGGCCAGGGATCGAGCTAAGCTAGCTTCCCCGCTCACAAGATGCATGGTCTTGTGAATGTGCAGTTGCCGTGGTGCATATAAGCCAACTACACCCCGACGCCTGTAAACAATGTCACACACGCATTCCTCTACGATCGCCGAGTCTACATCTTCTTCATCGAGACCTATTCTACACGATAACAATTCAACTAACGAACAACGTGCTACCGCGACTATGAGCGATATCAACGGAAAGGCGCCTGTCAATGGCAGTAATGGGGCACAGCGTGGTGATGAGCCGATTATCAAGGTTCAACCTCCCCGACGAGAGGATCTTCAGCCCAGCTATGCGAGGGTTATCCAGCCTGATGATGCCGACGCTGATACGAATGGATGGTACGGTGGTATGGTAAGTTGAGCAGACATCCTATATCCTGGGTGCCATTCTCACATAAGTAGATCAACACGCTAGGTGGCTGCATCGGTACTCTTGGTGCCATCCCATGCTGTATCGTATGCCCCAACCCCTACAAGCCAGTCAACCAAGGAAACGTCGGTCTTGTCACCAAATTCGGCCGATTCGCTCGCGCTGTCGATCCTGGTCTCGTCTACGTGAACCCACTATCCGAGCAACTCGTTCAAGTCGACATCAAGATCCAGATCGTCGAAGTCCCCAAGCAAGTCTGCATGACAAAGGACAACGTCTCCTTGCAATTGACATCTGTCATCTACTACCGCATTACTTCGCCTCACAAGGCCGCTTTCTCCATTTCCAACATCCGCCAGGCGCTCGTTGAGCGTACGCAGACGACGCTTCGCCATGTTGTTGGTGCGCGTGTGCTCCAGGATGTAATTGAGCGTCGTGAGGAGATTGCTCAGTCGATCCGTGAGATTATCGAGGAGACGGCTCTCGGATGGGGTGTCGAGGTTGAGTCCATGCTTGTCAAGGACATCATCTTTAGCCAGGATCTTCAGGATTCGCTTTCCATGGCTGCACAGAGCAAGCGTACCGGAGAAGCCAAGGTTATTGCTGCACGCGCCGAGGTCGAGGCCGCCAAGTTGATGCGTCAAGCTGCCGACATTCTGTCTTCCGCTCCAGCTATGCAGATCAGATACCTCGAAGCCATGCAAGCCATGGCCAAGAGTGCGAACAGCAAGGTCATCTTCTTACCAGGTTAGTTTACTTCTACAGAATACATATAAAACATTTACTGACTTGATAAAGCACAAAACCAAACTGTCCAAAGCGCCCTCGCTCAGGCCGACTCCTACGGCGAAGGCCCAAGTTCCCACGGCGCCAGCAACCCAATGGGTGTCCAGAGTTCCGCAGCACAGGAGTACGGCGGTAACAGCCATGGTTTCCAGAGCGCTATCAACTCGCATGTTATCGAGAACATGTAAAGCAACAGCTTGAAGACTCTGGATGATGCTCAGCTCGCCACGGCTCTTACGACAGACCTTTCGAAGATGTGATGAAGACCTTCAGACTCCTGTATAGGGGTGTGTGTCTTTACCCGCTGCTTCTTTGTATCTCTATTACTATTCTTGTTTCTGTTTTGGTATACGACTACTACGGACGAGATGATGGGCGAGTCTAGATTGACATGAGGGAGTTTCTTTGGTTTTTGCAATTGTTTTGATACCCTCTTCTTGGTAGTTGGTCATTATCGGTTCACTCGCTTGTTGCTCTGATAGACAGTTTTATGATAATGATAATGCCACTTCACAAATTTCTGAACAATGCGTTATTTTGATTTTTGGCAGTAGTGAGGTTGAGAATGGTGGCGGAACCGTTTTGTACCCTTTCAGGACACTCCGTCGTAGCATCTTACCTAGGTAGGTAACTGGATGATCGCCTGCTTCTCTGCTAACGCCACACCAAGCTCTCACCGGTCAGCTTTTACGTGCATATCATGTAACCAATCCAGAGTCAGCACGTCGCTTGGATTTGGCGGTAGGCACCTACGAGGCTGAATCGCTAAGCCCCGCTTTCCGCTCACATGTGCGAAGACTACTTGTCCTATCCATCAGCTTGAAGATTTGCCGACCTTCTTCCTCATTTCGCTCTTACGACTATCATTGTACCTCTTCGCTTGCGGACGTCCCGACGCTCCTTCCGATGGAAGCCCTCTCAGGGGCTGCCAGCGGCATAGCCGTGGTTTCGCTGACGATACAACTCATACAGTCCGTCGCACTCGTACGAGAGTTCATAAAAGATGTCAAAGGCGCGTCGAAAGAGTTCCATCGGCTCGCCGGCAAATTGGAGCTGCTCAACGCCTTGTTAGAGGACGCGCATAAGGTTCTGGAGCAACAATCATCTCTCTCAGGAATGCACTTCCCAACACCTTCGATAGCAATATTCAAGTGTCTTCAAGGCTGCGAGGAGTCTATAAAACCGCTTGTAGATACCGTAAAGAAACTCAGACTGCCGAAATCTCAGTCTAGCTCGTCTACGGCTAGGCTCAAAAGCGAGATCAAGCTTGGATTGAAGACAAAGGAAATTACAACCCTTGAGACTCGAATACAACAAGATATCGATCTTCTAAGTACCAGCCTCTCAGTAAATCAAAACAGCATCCTGTAAGGCACTGTTCTAAACTTTCTAGGCTTCGCGAACTAATCATGCATTGATAGGATGAACGTTTTCCCAATATTACTTCGAAACCAAGACAAGATGCTGAAGAGTAATGACAATCTTCCTGGAGCTTCTGTCTTATGTTCAGATCTTGGACCTACTGTCAGAACTCTAGATACCGTTTCTGCGTTTGCATCATCTCCCGTCCAATATTCACAACAAACGATACTGGTACGCTCGGCCTTTGAGAGACTTGGGCTTTACCGTCATAAAGTGATACGTTACCAGGACCAGAGAATCGAGGACTCGGAAGGCAACTTCAAGAGCTATAAGAGGGACATACTCTGGACAGCTGATGAAGTCTCTGCAGTGTGGAAATTCTTAGGCTTCGGCATGACTTTCACCCAGCAGCATCCATACGGCAGTATCCTTCCTAGCCTTAGAACGTATCCTGTGGTTGAACTAGCGGGTGGGGTATTCGATATGGTACAATCTGAAAGCGTTCAACAGCTCCAAGCACGAATTAGCTATGGTGTTCTTCATCCATTTATGCGAACCGCTACAGGAGTGTCATTACTTCATGTAAGTCGTAACTGTGAAGGCCTTTAGGAGCTCAAGTAACAGACGATCCAGTATGCTGCAGTCATACAAAGACCGGATGTATGTCGATTATTGCTTGGGTACGGGGTGAAACCAGAGCTCACGATATACGATGAGTCACCTCTATCCGCAGTCTTGTCAATCTCATCTTATGAGACACTTTCGACGAATAAAATTGAGGTGTATCGATGTTTGTTTGAAGGCGCAGATCTGGCGGACGAATTCAAGAGGTCGGACTCCCATCATCGAAGTTTGCGTTCCGCGATATCTATGGTCGAGGCTCAATGGCTTTGGGGAAAGAATCTAGAGCTGCTTGTAGGTGAACATCTCCGAAATAACCAACGGATGATCATCAGACGCTTTTGGTCTGGTGTTGCTAACCAAAGATCTCAATCACCCATCCGATTCAGCTCACGTCACGATATTCAACTTCCCAATTTCGTGATGAACAGAGATACCCTCAACGATATTCAATATGGGCGTTGTCAAATACTCGAAGCTATGTTCCTACCATACTCGGATTCCATGTTTAGCTACATCGTCGGTACTCGGTTTTTGGATTGGCTTATCAGTTTGGACTTAGACCCGGAACTATATGTTGATAATGAACGAGCGCGTTTGGAGGGTTCAAGGCACTCTTATCCTCATCCTAAGAGGATCGTATTCGAACGCAACTGGAAGCAAAGATGGATTCTTGGTTTTGAATGGGTTTTGGATTATCAAGCACCTGGCTACAGCCTGCTCTCTGAGTACCCCACTTTGACTTTCGAGTGCAGCGGGCCATACTATTGGCCCTTCACTGGGTGGGATAGCACGAAAAACTGGGATGCAGTTGTTTGTAGCGCACTGTTCAACCGTCGCATGGCTGCCAAAGAAAGAAAAGAGCGCGCACGTCTAGGTCAAAAACAGCCGCGAAGTCGAATGCCAGGAGCATGGAAATGGTGAGAAATCTGTATGCTGTTACCTAATAAACTCAAACTAGTCTACACTGCCTTGCTTTCCGACACCAAGAATTCTACATGCATCGTGACATCAACTATCAGGTTGTGTTGCGACCAGAAGATCTCCAGATTCCTTCTCACTTGCAGTGCAATAAGCGTATCCTGAGCCTGTGCAGTCGATTTTTGAACCGTTCTTTTAAGATAGTGGCTGAACAGCAAGACCTTGTCGTGATGTGCAATAGCACAACGTTACCTAGGTACGCGATCGACAAAGCATCAGCATGAATACGATGGTCGCATATCAAGCGCATGAAACCGGAGTTGCCGCATGCAGAGCCTTGGTGACTTCGTCGTCAGTTACCTACAGCCGTGCGTTTTGAGAGAATAAACTGTTGGAGATGAGGATCACGTTTTGCTCACCTAAATACATTCTCCTGTTTTCGCTCATTCTGCTCGCACAACCTGGGAACCAACCCAGGAATCCTATGTTTCCTCATTCCACTTCCCAAGGTGCCTCTTTCTAGGTCCTTCGCTACCTTGAACTACTCCGCCTCCTGATCTGTATCGACCCGAGAAGAAGACGCCGTAGGACAAGTCACTCTGAACCTCGCCATCGAAAACACCTTCCTCTCTTCCCTCAAACTTGCCTCCACCCTCAATCTCAACCTCAAATCCATTAACCCTTCCCCCAGCAGATTCCGTCCAGGCCAAGGTCCAGCATGTGCAGTCGCTGAAACCCTGTCCAACCCAATACCCAAAAACGCATCGTCTGGGTCTGTCATGACAAGCTCTCGATGTCCCGTGGCCATGAGCTTCTGCAGAAGCATAGGTGCGTGTTCTGAGACTGTAAACTTCACACGTGTTGTAACCATGATAACTTGATATGCCACTGCCACCATTGATTAGGCGCCATATCAAATCTGGTGTTTCCATAACTCACCTGTCGTCGCCCAGCTATGTGACCGGGAAGTATCGTTGGCTTTGATTTGCTTGCCTAGGGCCTTCTGTTCCTGAGGATCCGTCGTGCTCATTATGGCCCTAAATAGCTCATTGTTGTTGCCGAACCATAATGCCTTTTCTGCTTGGAAGAACTGCTCATTGCAATTGAATCCAATGTCCCCGTATTGGAAAGAACCGAGGAACGCTGGACTGAGAAAACCATTGTTTTGGTTGCTCTCGAAGGAGAACAAGACTGGCCCTTCGTCTGCTTCACTTTCGGGCTCCATCTTAGTGTAGGTTGTGTGTTGATCACTCGAGAAATGGGGGGAGTATGAGGTGAGGTAGTGGAAAGAAGTTTGGATATCAAAGGAAGACTCATCTTATAGAGGACATGAGCGCCTCAACGTTAGCACGTGCGAATAGTGTCCACCTTCACCTGCTTCAGTACCAGGGGTGAGAGAGTGATAGTCTTTCGCGATCAAGTGCGTGTGCACGATATAATGAAGTCTAACAGATGCAACTCCACCAATGATACCAAACTCCATAACATATATACACCGAATGCAATATCGTACAACCACCCCCTCCTCCTTACTTCACTCTACTTCAAAATACTAGCCCCCCTCCTATCCTTCTTCAACGGACTAAACGTAAACGCCTCCTCACTCATCATATTGAACCCGCCACTAATCGGCCTCGCCTGTTTCCCCATACCACTCTTACTCAACGCCCTTGCAGCAAAAAGGCCTTTACTAAGTCCCACAGGTTTCAAGCTGGGCACAGCTTCCTCGGCATCATCTCCTTCCTCGGCATCGAAAAGTGTCTTCCCCGCCGTAGCCCCCAATTTCCGCTTCTTCTTCTTTTCGGCAGCCGGTTCTTCGGTAAAAGTGGCAAAGGACATGAGAGATTTGCGAGGCTTCATCATTTTGCTGTTGGATTTCTTCGAGGGCCCATCCGAGTCCTTGGTTGCTACTTTTTGTGGTGCTGCGTTTTCAGGCGCGTCTTCGGTTTCTTCCGATACCATTTCGAGGGCTGGGTTGACGGTGGCGGCCGCAGCGTTCTTCTTGTTCCGGGGTTTTGCATTCGCTTTGCTGGACGCGGACGGAGCCAGGGCTTTAGGCTTTGGTTGCTTGAGAGCTTTCTTGGGCGGTGCCGTTGGTGTGGCATGTTCTTGCATCGAATCCTCGACTTCTTGCTCAGCTTCTTCGTCTTCTTCCTCCTCGACAATGGGACTACCAAGTGCAATGCTAGACGTCTTGTTCAAAAAGGGTGTGAGGGAGAATGTCGATGTGTCGCCAACAGCTGTGACAGAAGTGGCGCGCTTCACCTTCTTCGCAGGGAACCCGTCACCAGGCGTACCTAGCATAGTCTCTGGTTCAGCCGTAGCAGCCATGCGCTTCCGAGCATTCTTCGCAGGCTTGGTGGCAGGAGGCGCCATGCTCTTGGTTGGTGGCGCAGTTTGTGCTCTGTCTGCTCTCTCGAGTTCGGCCTCCTTCTCCTTGAGCTTCTCCTTTGTCGTTCGTAGCTTCTCACGGAAGGCACCAAGTTTGTCATCAAGGACGGCGTTCTTGCCTTGGAGCTCAGCTAGGGTCTTGGAGTATTCCTTCTCTTGCTTCTTGCGCTCTCGCTTTTCTTCTTCTAGTTCTCTCCTTGTGGCTTCGGCTTGATCGTCTGGTTGTTGCGAGGATTGTGAAGCCTTCTTCGCTGTCTTCTCTGCCTTTTGACGCTCGCGCTTCTCTTGCTCTAGTTCCTGTCGGAGCTCTTCAATCTCTGCGTCACGGGAGGCAGCATTTTTGCTCGCCTTTTCTGCTTGGATACGAGCAGCCTTTTCTTGTTCCAGTTCCTGGCGAAGTTGTTCAATCGCAGCATCTTGAGCCTCACTGTGTTTAGCAGCCTTGCTGGCTTCCTTCTTAGACAGGCTCTCAACCTTGGCTTGCAGACTTTCGGTCGCCTGTTGTTGTGACTCCAGATCGGCCTGCACCTTCTCCATAGCCTTCTCTGCCTTTGTGAGTCCTGCCTCGGCCTTCATCCGGTCCTTCTTCTCGGTTGCGAGTTGGTTGCGCGCTTCCTCTAGCTCGTTGCGGAGGTCTTCGTCTTGCTCCATCTTCTTACCTTGCTTGGCGATTGTCCGGGCGGAAGTCCGTTTCTCGTTCTCGAGCTCGACTTGCAGCGTCGCCATCTGGCGTTGTAGCGCGAGTTTCTCGGCAAGGAGGCCAGTGTTGGATTCGACTTGGGCGCGTAGGTGTTCGACTTCAGGGCGTAATGATGAGATTTCGCGGGAGAGGGCGAGTTTGTCGGAGAGGATCTTGTTGGAGTCGGATGTGACGTTCTCCATAGCCTTGAGCTCGGCCTGATGGATTGTTAGCAAGCAGTGCATTGATCGGCAAGTTGGACGTGCTTACCTTGAGATTGGCGACTTCCCGCGCCTGGGTGCGGATGGTGTTTTGCGCTGCCTCTGCCTCTGCTCGTTGCTCGTCCAACTGTGCAAGGGCCTCTTCGAGGGATGCCTCTAGCTCGTCGGAGCGTGCCTGCTCGTCTTCGAGTTGTTCGTGGAGATCGCTGTTGTCGTCTTGCAGGAGGCACTGGGCGACCCGCAACTTCCGGATTTCCTCGTCTTTGACTACCGCTTCGACCGAGTGCTTACTCCGCTCGAGACTAAGTTCGAGAGTCGCGTTCCGCAGCGAGTTCTGGAGCTGAGAGGACACGAAGAGTTAGTGGAAAGTCTAAGAAGAAACCAGCGGAACAGGGTCCAGCGGTTTTTTACTTACATCTTTCATCTCGTAGTTGGTATCTATATCCGCCTCCATAGTCGCGACCATGGTACAATATCTGCTCAATGATGTGTCTGTATCTGTAGGTATAGTGTGGATGTGCGATCGATCTGGTGGGGCCTTGGGAGGACGCGACTGAGTAAACAAACAGAGAGCAGACACCTGTACCGAACTAGCAACACAACAGTGAAAGAATGACTCCGAATAAGTTCAAAACGACGCGATGGATCAAGGTCAATAAACCGAGTGTATTCTCCAAGACGAACGACTTGGACGTTTGCAGTTCCGAGTGAAGGTCCACGCCCATGTCGCGATCCCCCTGCCAGCCTTGGCATCCATTACGCACGCCGCCATATCTCCGGGCGAGCGCTCAAGGCCACGTTCCCAAGCTTTGGAGCTTCCGTCCAACCCACCAAGTCTCCGCAACCCCAACCATCCCACCCGCTTCCCAACAACACAATGCGGTGGCTAAACCTCCTCACGGCCTCGCTGCTGCCCTTCACAGCTCTCGCAGCCAAGAAACCGACCGGCGACCGCTTCAATGACGCCCGCGCCAAATCGCTATCCATCGGCCACCCGCTCAAGCTCGACGATGCAAGCTATGCGCAATTGACAAAGTCTCCGCGTGACTACGGCATCGCTATACTGCTGACAGCCTTGGAGCCGCGTTTCGGTTGCATGCTATGCCGGGATTTCCAGCCAGAGTGGGATTTGCTGGGTAAGAGTTGGATGAAAGGTGACAAGAACGGTGCGACAAGACTTGTATTCGGAACCTTGGACTTCGTAGATGGCAAGAACGTTTTCCAATCGGTAAGATGAGCCTTTCTCCTTCCCATATGTTGAAATGTAGAATGTACATACTAACTCTTCGAAGATGATGCTGCAAACCGCCCCCGTCCTCCTCTACTTCCACCCCACCGTCGGCACCCACGCAAAACCAGATGCCTCACCCGTCCGCTTTGACTTCACCGCCGGTCCCCAGACCGCAGAACAAATCCACGCCTGGATCTCACGACAGGTCCCCGCTGAACTGCCCAAGCCTGCTGTCTCGCGCCCCATCAACTGGATCAAGATCATCACCGTCACCACCGTTGTCCTTGGTGGCATCACCGCTGTCTCCGTTGCATGGCCTTACTTCGTTCCTCTGCTACAGAACCGCAATCTCTGGGCTGCTGTCTCCCTTATTGCCGTCTTGCTCTTCACGTCTGGCCACATGTTCAACCACATTCGTAAGACACCATATGTTGTCGGCGATGGCAAGGGTGGTATGAGCTATTTCGCTGGTGGCTTCAGCAACCAGTATGGTCTCGAGAGCCAGATTGTTGCTGCCATCTACGGTATACTTGCTTTCGCCGCCATCTCCCTTGCCATCAAGGTTCCTAGGATTAAGGATGCGCGTGCGCAGTCTTTTGCGGTGTTCTTATGGACCGGAGTGCTGTTTGGTATGTACAGTTTCTTGCTGAGTGTCTTTAGGTTGAAGAACGGTGGGTACCCGTTCTATCTGCCTCCTTTCTAGATGAAGGGTGATGAGTGAAGAAGAAGGAGTTGCAGGGACTTCTCAATCGGTGAGAGACCAGAGTATAGAGTTGGAAACTCATACTACCTGCAAGGGTATATCATTCCAATGGTGCCAAAAACCTGAGCTCACGGCTTGAGCTCGATGTATACTTTGTATGATAAAAAGTAAGCTGTGAAAGCGGGCGTTTATGAAGTAGATGCCAATCCAAATGTCAATATCATGTATCTTACTGCTCTGTACTTGAACTGCTGTAAGGGGACAAGGTACAGTACCTTTAGACCGCCGTCGAGCATGACTTTAGTCAGAGTAGCTTAGAGTACGGGCTGTACGCAGTACATGATATAGGAGCATTCTATTGGGTGAAAAGATTGTGTACCCTCACCACACCTGGGCACTCGTCCACGCTAAGAATTGCAGTGCAAGTTACAGTGATTAGGGCCTCGTCGTTTCGGTCACTTACGGTGGTACAAAGGCTAGAGCTTAGCTTGTTTGAGACGACTCTTATACAATGAGGATGGGTGATCTAACCCGACTGGGCACAAAAGCTTGGTAGGCGTGTTTGCAATGCATTCTTCAGCGCAGACAAGGCTGATGATGGTGGGAGACCTCGACACCATCTACTCCACTGATGATGCAGTAGCAAATCTCCGCATGTGACACAACATCAAGGGTCAATACTCTAGGCTTCTCCATGGATCAACATGGCCTCCTGTTCGAACGATCTAGTGGAGAACATAAAGGTCAGTGTTGATATCAGCTTCTCGTTCACGCTAAAGATTGCAGTGCACATGAATCACACTGCATTGCATAGCCACAATCTTAACGACTCGTTTGCGCTAAAGATTGCAGTGCAGTGATGCATTATTCTTCTAGTAGTCTTATTCGTGGGCAACTTGCGCTACGCAATATCTTGTTCGTTACTGCATGTTATGCATGTAATCTAGGTCTACCTGCTCGTCCGCGCTAAAGATTGCAGTGCATGTCCATTCTCGTCGGCCCACTATGGGCCGGCTAGCCCATAAGGGAATGTCAACACCAAACTCTGGAAGCAAACATATGATCGTAATCATACCATTCACATTTGTACTACATTAAAAAATGCCATGACTGAGAACAAACCAGTAGCCCAATAGCCATGACCCGCTATGAAAACATTTCGTGCCCAGAGAGATGCCCATCATAAACTCCCATACCCATTAAACATACCGAAAGGAAAACAAAGAAAGAAAGACGTACACGCCTAAGCCATAGCCAACGCATGCAAGTCAAAAACATCATTCCTCCAACCCCCCTCATCCCAATCATCAATCCTCTCCTCGGCCCTCCTCCCCTCCTCTTCCCACAGCTTAACAACACTACCAGGCGCATACTTGCCCGCAAAGACACCCTTCTTGTTTGCCTCGACACCCACCCTTGTATACACATCTGGATCATCAGCCGGCGTAAGCCTCGTAATGACCGCCTTGACAAAAGTCTTGACATCATCCGGATCAGAAATCCTCGTCGCCCTCAATCGCTCGCGCGCAAAGAGGAGCTCACGGTTGGCAGCATGGATGCCATCTGCGATACCTTTCGCCATCTGCCTCTCCATGACCTTGCGGACAATGGGGCGGAGGAGGGGTTTGAACAGCCAGCCGAGGATGCTGAACTTGGATTTGCGCAGCTTGTACGTGAGCTTGTGGATATGTACACGTACGGCCTTGAGGGTGAGAATCTGTTCTAGCTTCTCCTTGCCGACTTCGACGTCGAGGTGGATGTCGATGCCGCGCTCGTCCAGCTGGAAGGATGCAATGCCTTCGTCGGCGAGACGGAGAAGACCAGAGTGTGCGCGGAGGAGGAAGCCGACTTCGTCAGCACGGAAAGAGAGACCGTCAATCTTGATGGTGAACTTGGATGTGGCCTTTGATGCGACGCGGAAGCGCGCCTTGCGCAGTTCAAAGTCGTTGTAGGTTTCTACTTTGAAGCGGAAAGGCAGGAAGGAGGTGTGGTTGATCGTTTTTCCGGGTTCGATGATCAGGTTCTCCAAGAGCATGTCAATCTCAGGTGTGGAGACCTCGAGGCGAGGAATAGGAATATACTGGATAGCCTGAACTGCCAGAGGAACGAACACGTTGATGGCGTCCTGAACCAGTTCGCTGTTCGTGGCTGAGTGCATGGGCGATAGGATGTTCCAGATCCTCATGGTTGTCTTGATCATCTTCGCAATGTCCTCGTCCTGTGTAACAGCCATGAAGGTTCGCTGAGCTTGCTCAAAGAACAAATCAACGTCCTGGCGAAGCGACGACTCGCTTCCAACACCCTTGGCCTTCTTTCTGAGCTCCTGGAACTTCTCGTCGACGTGGTCGAAGAAATCGGGGTCGGTAAGCAGTTTCTGTAGGGAATTGCCGACGTCAGTGAGTAGGTCCTCAAACTCGGGGTCCTTGCGGGAGTGCTCCAAGACCTTGTGGAAGGCATCCTCGAGTTTCTTCCATTCTTGCTTGTCGCCAAAGGAGCTTATGAAAGTCCAGAAATTCTTGACAGCCTTGTCCATTGCTGGGTTCGTGTCGACGTCCTCTTCGAGCGTGCCCATGGCGTCTTCGACTGTGCGAGAATATGCCATGGCGTAGCGCTTCAGCAGCTGTGCCAGTACAGATACGGAGTCGTTGTAGTCCCTCTTCTGCCTCAGGTTCGTGACCGTCTTCTTCAGACGGAACAAGAGCGATTCACCCTCATCGCCCTGTAGCTTCTCTGCTAGGCTGACGTCTGCCCTGTGAGCAACCTTGGCCACACCATTTCCGACAACCTGAGCCACCTCAGTGACCTCACTACTCAGCTCCTCGGCGGAATGTGCGAGGTTCTCATCGGCACCTGGCTCTTTGAGGGCCTTGTACTCTGCTGGCGAGGGCTCGATCTTCTTTGCAGCTTTCTTCGCCACATTCGACAGTGTAAAGGCGGAGTCTCGGAAGACTTCGCGACCGACGACGTTGAGATCAGAGAGGAAAAGGCGGAAGTCTGAGTTGGTGAGGAGTAGAGACCCGACAGTCTGGAGGCTCTGGTATGCTGTGGAAGCGTTAGCGGATAACAGTCGGACACATGTGTATGCACGCACCTGCAGTAGCATCTGCCTTTGCCTTTGACCTTGTCGTCCGTCTCGCCATATCCCTGACGTCAACAGAGATTCTAGCCTTGGAAAGGTACCAGAGAAAGTCCTGAATCTGATCTTCGCTGTTCTTGTGGTTCATCGTGTCGATGAATTGATGAAGCCATTGTTTCGTGAACTTGACTAGCAGGCGACCTGAATCGCTCAAATCGGGATTCTCTGGATTCAGGATATCTGCAGATAGCAAGCTGCGCAAATTGATGATGAGTTGTTCGTTAGATGGCATGAAACCCATAGTAAGCGCCCTCCACATCTGGTACGAGTGGAGCTTCTGATGCACCTCACGCTGGAGCGTTGTGTCATCACGATACTATTCGTTACGGTCAGCAACCATCATTTTGTGGTTGAACGCGTGAACATACCTGTGGCAACAACGGC